GCATGTACAAACAGCCTATCCCTGGCTCTTTGAGGCTGAGGTGAAATAGCTCCCCAGAACATGCATTCCCTGATCCATGCCTCCTCCCCCTGCTAGCTGCGTCCCACCTAGTGGCAGTAGGTGGTACTGCACACTGCTGGAGGCGTTCCATCCCCCTCCCCATGGCAGCAGCCAGTACTGTGCCCTGCAGCAACTCCAGTCCCCTGGTGGCAGCAAGCAGTACTGTACCCTGCAGGGCTACAGCAGCACCAGTCCCCCAGTGGCCACAGGCAGTACTGCCCTCTGCAGGGTTACAAACACTCCAGAAGACCCCACAGCGGCAGCAGGCTGTACTGTACCCTGCAGGGTTGCAGCAGCTCTAACACCCTGCAATGGCAGACATGCACCCTGAAGTACATCAGCCACAATACACAGCTGTTATATAATTGAATAGGCTGAGTCCCATTAGCCTCTGATACCCAGCTGCCCCTGGGTCCTCCAGTTCCTAGAGGACCTGTATACCTTGTATAGTGCAAGGGACTTTCTAGTAATGAGGAGGGCATTCTGTAGCTCCTGGCTGGTGCACATAGCCTGTGCCTGTTCTGTAGAAGATGTATTGTGGAATCTCTGTTCTGTTGTGGAATCATTGTCATCTGATGACGGCACACCGCTCAAAATAGCTTCCATTCCATTCTTGGGGACCTGCATGCTATTGGAAGCTGCCCTGTTTTGTGGCATCTCCTGTGCTCTGGCACTGCAGAAGCACACAGAGGTGGGATTGTTCCAGAGAACTCAATTCTCGTTTAGGTACCACATTTTCAGAGAGAACAGGGCCAGATTTCGAGGTGCATAATACCTCCTAAATAACATGTTCAGGTCTTTGTCAGTTGTGGCAATCAGTGACCCAATGGGAGCTGCTGAGTGCTTTGGTAAATCCAGGTTGGAATGGGAGCTAAGATTCTTGGAAAATCTAGCTCCCAATTTTTGGTGCTGAGACATTGGACATCCCACCCAAGCTATGTGTGCTTCTGGTCTCTCTGTGCTCCCACCACAGAGTAATTTATCAGCAGCGGGAACAAGGCACCTCCGTCCATCCCCAGTAACCAGCTCATCTTGTGTCTGGGGATGGCAGGTGCCGGACACACTTACACAGAGAGACACCGTTCAACACAATGCCCGAGAAAGCCATTCCGGTCAGGAAGCGGAAGATGCAGTAGGCAGTGAAGCTGGGCGAGAAGGCAGTGCAGGTGCCCGTGACAGCCATCTGCAAGTAGCACCAGATCAAGAGAGACCTGCGGCCAAACCTGAGCCAAAAAAAGCCAAGAGAACAGGTGAGGGAAACCCAGGATACTGAGGCAAGTATGTTCAGAACCTGGTGCAAGGAACTATTGGTGCCATTGACAGGCATGGCTTCCTGGCTAGGGGAATGGGCAAAGAGGCAGGAGGCCCCAGTTCTAAAACCAGCTCTGTGGCACGTGACAAAAGGTTATTGATGAAAATACTTAATGTCAGTCGTGCCGTAGCTGCTAATGATGAGGCCTGCAGGGCTGAATTAAGGCAATCTAGGGCCCCTGGCAGTAGAGTTATCCCCTGGCTGGTATTTGACCGTTAGAAAAACATCCAATCTTGATTTAAAAATCTCCAGGGATAGAGAATCCACAACAGCCCTTGGGCCGTTGTTCCAATGGTTAATTCCTTTTGCTGTTCGAAATGTACACCTTATTTCCAGTCTGAATTTGTCTAGCTTCAATTTCCAGCCACTGGATCTTGTTAGATCTTTGTCTGCTAGATGGAAAAGCCTTCTGTTATCAGATTGCTGCTCCCCGTGTAGGTACAGTACCTTTATAGAGAGCCACATGTTTTTTGCAAATGTGAAATAATATGAAGTAAAGCAAAAAACTCACCCTGCAGTGACAGCTCCTATCCTGTGAAGCTTGGCCTGGCTCCCCACTCTGAATGGGGAGGGGGTGGGGGGAGCGCCTTGCCAAACCTAAACAGCACTGCAACCCCGTGTACCAGATAACAACACCCTGAGTCGAGAGCCAGGCCCAACCACACCGCACAGGACCCCAACAGCCGCTTCTGCAGGATGAGTGCAGGGCAGGCTCGGGGGTGCAAGACTCATCTCCCCCAGAGCCTTCCAAACCCTGGTGGCAGGACTCAGCCCCCCTTGGGGCCTCCCAACCCCCAGGGGCAGGACCCGATCCCCCTGCATGGATAAAATTAACAAAACAAAAATAACAAGAAATTCCCCCAAAAATAAAATATACAATTATAAAAAGAATTCACCGGGCTCCACTTACAGACTGTGATCAAATCACCCCTTAACCTTTGCTTTATAGATCAAGCTCCTGGAGTCTCTCACTGTAAGGCACATTTTCCAAGCCTTTAATCATTCTTGTGGGTTTTCTCTGACCGCTCTCCAACCTACCAACATCTTTCTGGAAGTGTGGACACCGGAACTGAACATAGGATTCCAGTAGCAGTCACGCCAGTGCCAAATACAGAGATACAGTAACTTCTCTCCTCCTGCTCGAGATTCCTGATTCCGCCAGGAATCAGCCTTGCTCTGCTTCATAATGACATTGCTCTCACCTGTCTGACAGACCTCCAAAGATGATGCCTCCCGCCAGGATCCCAGCCATGTAGATGGACTGAGCCATCTGCTTCAGCTGCCGGGAGTCACACACCAGGTCCCACTGTAAGGGAGAGAGAAAACAAAGTTTGGCTCCAGGAGGAAGACTGGGTTGTAGTTAAGGCCCCAGACTGGGGCTCAGAAGAGCTGGGTTTGATTCCTGGCTTAGGCTGAGATTTTCAGAACCATTGATGGCATTTAGACAGCCAGTCTCCATAGCAATCATTACAATCTGCAGGGCATCACAGCCTTAATCTCCCTGAGGTTCAATGTCCATCATCTGTAAAATGAGGGAGGATCATCCTGTCTTTGTCTCTGTGCAGCATGCAGCACAGCTGGGCCCCCGTCTCAGTTGGGGGTCCACCCAGCACAATCTCAGTTGGGGTCTGTGCAGGGCCCAGTGCAATGGGGCCCTGATTTGAGCTGGGGTCCATGCAGTATCTGGCACAAGGGTTCCCCAGTCTGAGCTGGGCTCTGTGCAGTGCCAGGCACAACAGGGCTCCACTCTCAGCTTGGGTCTGTGTAGCATCTGGCACAGTGAGTCCCCGAACTCAGCTAGGGTCTCTGCAGTTCCTGGCAGAATGGGTCCTTTAGATGTTAATGTAGGATCAAATATAATGATCCCATGTGAGGCGGATGGTCTTGAATGGAGTGAGCATTCAAGAGACCAGGACCTCTACTCCTAGCTCAGACACTGACTTGCTGTGACCTTGGGCAAGTCATGTTGCCTCGCTGTGCCTCAGTTTCCCCCAGCTGTGAGATGGGATAGTAAGGTTTAGTCTCTATTGTAAAGCCCTTTGAGATCCAGGGGAGAGCAGGGCTAACTCTTAGCATCATTCTTGGTTCCTTTAATGTGGATTAGTGGATTATGTCCAGTTTAATTGAGAGGAAACTGACTGCACAATGGATGGGGGAATTCCCACCCCAACCAGTGCAACCACAGCTTCCTCCGACCGATACACTGAAGGAATCAAGACTCTGTAAAGCATAAAGGCTGTGTCCTGCTCTCCTTTACGCCTATGCAATGGCAGCCACTTGAAGCTGCATGGACTGAAGTCACCAGGGGTGCCAGAATGTAACTGAGAACAGCACATGGCCCTGGATGAAATTCTGCACTGATTTAGGCTGAAACCAAGCTGATGTCAATAGACATGCAGGGGCTGTAGGTTGGTGCAAATTTTACGATCAGATACTAGGAAGAGGAGGATAAATAGATAGATACTATGACACGCTCTGCCCATAGGACTGTGAAACTTAGTTGCAAAAATCTATGAAAAGGCATGATTCCAACAAAAATATTTTCAACTCATCCACCCCAACTTCCACCCCATGGTTTCAGCATCCTTTTCCGAGCTGGTTACCCGCACTGCAGCAGGTCTTGCTCTCACGTACCTCTGTAATGATGGTGCTGGTGAAAATGCTCTTGTCGTACACCCACCCATCAGCACAGGGTTCAGTCTCCAGCTCGGTTAGGTTTGTGACGGTGGCGTTGGAGTCTAGGAGCTGCCACTGCATGGTGACAAAGCGGTGACACTTCTCTGGCTGCTGTTTGCTGTCCATGGGGACAGAGACCCTGAGGAGGTCCTTGGCAGCAAGCTTTCCAGTGAGGTTGGTGTAAGGAGTGTTGCTGATGTTGATATGGACATGGCAGTGGTGCGCAGAGATGGCAGCAGTGAAGTTCTGCAGGAGGTTATGGCTAGCCATCATGAAAACTGGGATAGCCAGTAAGATAGTATAGATGATTTGGAAGCGACCCATCCCCCCGACGTGGTCCAACAGCTCGGCAAAACTCATGGTGCCGGGTTGGGAGATTCAACACTAACCGTCTGGGTTAAGCAAAAGTGATGGGTCTCGAATAACCGAGGTTACCTGAATAGGTCAATTACTTGTAAAAATTAAACTTTGTGCGATCAAAATATCTACACAGAAAGACGTTAATTTGAATCCAGCTTGTATTCCACTTCACAACTTCAAAGACAGCCATAAAGGGCAGCACTTCTTAGAAGAAGTCAGCTGTTGGCAAATAGTGTCTGTGGATTCTTGAGGGTGTAGTTTCCAAAGAAGAGGCATTGAGTTGTATTCTCCCTAAATAACTGAGTGTGCTACCACGTTGTTTCTCCTTTGTTGCAAAAATGCCCATGCAACCATTCCTAGTTTCCTGTCAGCTGCAGGAAAACTCCACACACCTTTTTTATGAACTTTAGATGCATAAGGGAATGGTTTTGCCAAGCTTAACTCCACGTTGATCCTTGCATTTTACCCTCTGGAAAAGCAGGTGGGGTTTATATATTCCTCGGAGGGTTATATAAGGCCTTAACCAGGTCACTTGGTTAAAATTGTACTTTGTTTTGCATGGATTAAGTCCAAAAAAGAAAAAGTCTGAAAGCAATGTGCTAGATACCGCGCCAAATGCTTCCAGTGCAGAGGTGACAAACACACTGATCCAAGCTGTTAAACCAGATTGCCTTTGGGTGAGTATATTATTCACACCACAGGGCTAGAAATTAACTTAAACGAAAAAGGATCCAGATTTAGCTGAGATACCACAATCCCGCCTCTGTCCTGAGTTGTCACTATTCTTAAAATACCACCTGGATAGACGCAGCTGAGACTGTTGCCAGGGATTGTACAACCCCTTAGTGTGAGACATCCCAGTCCCAAAGAGCTTACAGTCTAAATAGACAAGACAGACCAAAGGGAGGGTTGTAATTAGCGCTGGTCTGAAAATTTTTAGCAACAGGTCTTTGCAGGAAATGTTCTGCAGGAAAGTGTCATTTTTGACAAATGTCTTGACTCTAAAACATCATAAGAAAAAAGATTTGAAGATGAAAAGTTGGAGATGACAAATTTCAGTTTTTCAGTGTAAAATGACTTTTTGTTTAGAAATTTGAGCTAATTATAGTAAAAAATGTTTGGAAAATACAAAATGGTTGAAAGATAAACAAAATGTTTCGACTGACCAGACCAAAATTTTTTATTTATTTTTTTTTAATTTTGAAATATTTTGAGATGTCAACTTTTCATCCTGATTCCAGGCTGGAAATATTTTTATTTATTTATTTTAATTAATTTTCTCTGGATGGAAAACCTGCCCTGCTCTATCATTATCTTCCTTTTACAGATGGAGAAACTGAGGCACAAGGAGAGCCGAAATGACTTGCCCAAGTGTCTGCGACAGAACTGGGGATGGAGCCCTGAATTCGTGGTTCCTCATCCTATGCATTAACTCTGAGGCCATTCTTCGTCACAAGGCTCTTCTTGCTGTGGTGTAGTTTTGATGCCTGATGAGTTGCTTGGTATGTCCAGTACTGCCAGAGTCAACCTAGTTGGCTGATTGGCTTAGTGGAGGTGTCCTTTGTTTGTTACATGCTGCCACTTATGCCTTGCAGTTCAAGTGCTAGGGGTCTCAATCAAGTCATTTGGGGAGGTTTAATGAAGGATAATATCTGAGTAAAAAGGAAATGAGATATGATCCTAAGACTGGTGCGTTATGGGTTGTTGTTTGTCTTGGTTCCCAGGTACCAATGACTGGCACAGATAGATTGATACATATAGGGATGGGGGATGTGTGGGGGGATAGATGGATGGACAGATATTTCTTTTGGGTCATGTCGTCTGTTTCCTGGGGGGAGGGAAAAGCTGAGGAGCTCAGCAGAAGGGGGGCAGTTCTGTTCTGTGGGGTTGAGCAGGGCAATGTGAGCTCACATAGCAGGTCTGTGCCCTGCCCCACAGCTCTCTGAAGGCCCCTGTCTGACCCGGGCAGACTCAGAGGCAGCTCTGCCATCTGCACTGCAGAATCAACGGCGGCTGTCACGGGGAGGGAAGTAGGAGCGGAGGCTACTGCAGGAGCAGCTACTGAGTGCAAACCGTGGCCCAGCCCCTTTCTTCCTCCTCCCCCCAGGGGCACTGTAACAATTTCTACGGTGGGGGTGCTGAGAGCCATCGAACCAAACTGTAAACCCTGGATATGATGAAAACCACTTCAAGCCAAAGGGTGCTGCAGCACCCTCCACAGCTCTAGTTCCAGCACTTATGCCTCCTGCCCCGTCCTGCAAACCATGGCCAAGCCCCTCTCTTCCTCCTCCCCCCTGCAAACCAGGGCCTGGCCCCTCTCTTCGTCCTCCCCCACCAATTTCCACCCCTTTCTCTTGTTTCTGTGTTTCCCTGTAGGTGCTGGCCAGTGCTGTGTGGCTTGCAGGAGCAGTGGTTTCAGGTACAACTGATACCCTGGGGCCCACCGCACCGTTGGGGGCAGAGGTGCTGGGATTGCTGGGAGTAGCCAGTGGCAGGAGCTGGATCTCGCAGGGGAACGATTTGAAGGGACTCGGGGATTGGGGTGCAACGATTGGTACCCTGCAAGGCCAGGTTAGGGCTGGCATTGCCCAGAGGCCAGTGCGTGAGGGAGGGAGCTGACACCCAGCTTCCACAGGGAACACCCTTTCGTTGGAGGCAGGGGTAACAGGGCGACTCACAGTCCTGAGCACAGTCCAAGAACCTCCTCTCCCCAGAACAATGGGATGGCTCTCCTGCTCCTCCCCCCTCCTTTCTCCCTCCAGCAACACCTGGCCTGGAAAGGGGCCAGGGGAACCTCACTGCAGCTGCCCCTTCTAGGCCTGGGAAAGGGGGGTGAAGAACCCCTGCAGCTGCGGGGGGAGCAGAGATGGGGCTGGGGGGCAGAATTGCTGTGGGGTTTGGGACGGTGCATAATTCATTGCTGGGCTGGCAAAGGGGCAGATGTGGGGCTGGGGGTAGAGCTGGACGGGGAAAGTTTTTCCTCCTCCCTCCTGAAGCGTCACAATTTTGAAATTTTTTCCCATCTCGCGTTTGGACAAAAAAATTGCAATGTCCAAAAAGTTTACGGACCGATAAACCTAAGAAAAAATTCCAGCCAGGTGACTGAAAACGTGTCTTTCAATTTCCACCTTTTTTGTCTTTTTTTTTTCCCAGTAGAAATAAAAAACGCAAGACAGCCATTTAGAAACTGAAAACAAAACGTTTTGTTTTGAAAAGGGCTACTGGGACAAGTTAAACCACTCTCCCACCCCCCACCCCCACCTGTAAATCTGGGATAACAGCCCTGACCTCCTTTGTGAAGCACTTTGAGAACTATGGATGCAAAGCGCTAGGCACGAACTAGGGATTATTAACAACAGCCATCAAGTGAGTCCTTTTTTCTCACACTGTCCTTTACTGGTTCGGGGGGGCTGCCTGACTGGTAAATGGAAAAATCCCAGTCTAATATTCTAACTAAAATCAATTTACAAAAGTTGAGCATAGTTCTGTATGAACCCAACAACAACAATTTAACAGCCTCTCTTCCTAAGAGATCTTTATTTACAAATAAGAGTCAACTGTAGTTTCAAGGTGCATTAAAACCAAAGATATGGGGTTCTCAAACTGTGGGTCACGACCCCATTTTAATGGGGTCACCAGGTCTGGCGTTAGACTTGCTGGGGCCCGACGCTGAAGCAGAAGCCCAAGCCCAACTTCCCAGTGCTGAAGCCCTTGGGCTTTGGCTTTGGTCCTCCAGCCCAGAGTGGTGGGGCTCAGGCAGGCTCAGGCTTCGGTCCCCTCTCCTCGGGTTGCGGTGTAATGAAATTTGAGAACTCCTGAACAATAATCACAGACTTTGCTAAAGCTGATGGGTGTGCCAAGCACTGTTTCAATTTGTGGAAGAAGCAATTAAGCCCCTTTATACAGTAGCACCAGCTACAAAGAATGAAGTGACCCCCTCTGGGAGCTCAGGGCTAAGCCCTGCCTGCTGAGGGGTTTCCCAGATTGCAGACACACGGGCTAGGAGGATGGTTTTGCAGCCTGTGTGTGCTGGAGGCAGGAAGCCAGAAGCAGTTGTGGGAGCTTGAGAGGAGGCAGAGAGGCAGGGCTTCTTGGGCACAGAGCCTGTTGGTGGGGCAGACTTGGGGATTTCTGAGCCGAGAAACTGTTGGCTGTTGTTATTTTCTTCTGTGTTTGGGGAAACAGGATTGTGTGTGCATTCTTTGTGAATAAACTAGATCAGGGATTCAAACTCAAATCACCACAAAGGCCACATGAAGACTAGTACATTGGCCCGAGGACCACATCACTGACACCTTTTCATACAAAGATACAAAAGCGCCCCCCTCTGCCCCTGGCCCTGCCCCCACACCACCCCTTCCATGAGGCCCTGCCCCTGCCCTGCCTCTTTCCACCCCTTCCCCACCCCCATTCCAACCCGTTCCCCACAGTCCCCACCCCAACTCCGCCCCCCTCCCTGCCCCTATTCCAACCCCTTCCCCAAATCCCCATCCCAGACCTGCCTCTTCTCCGCCTTCTCCCTTGGGCGCGCCACATCCCCGCTCCTTCCCCCTCGCTCCCAGAAAGTCCTAAGCACTGCCAAACAGCTGTTTGTCGGTGGGAAGCTCTGGAAGGTAGGCGGAGGATCGGGGGTGTGGCGCACGGGGCAGGGGGAAAGGGGAGGTATGGCGGGGCCGCAGGAAATAACTCCATGGGCCACATGTTTGAGACCCCTAAACTAGATTATATCATGAGCTCCCAGTGCGATGCGATCCTTAGTTGTATAAACAGGGGAGTAGTGAGTAGGAGCAGGGAGGAGATTTTTACCTCTGTATAAGGCATTGGTGAGACCCAGAGTGGAATACTGCATCCAGTTCTGGTGCTCACATTCTTGAAAGGATGTTGAAAAATTGGCAAGGGTGCAGCTGAGAGCCAGAAAAACGATTTGAGGGCTGGAGAAAATGCCTGACAGTGAGAGACCTGGGCAGCTCATTCTGTTTAGCTTCTCAAGGAAAAGAAGATTGAGAGGTGACTTGACCACCGTGTACAAGGACCTTCATGGGAGAAAATCCCAGGTACTAAAGGGCTTTTTAGCCTACTGGGAAAGGCAGAACAAGAACCAATGACTGGAAGTTAAAGCCAGACACATTCCAATTGGAGGCAACAGTGTTTCCCAGTGTGAATGATTAGCCATTGGAACAAACTCCTGAGGTGAATGGTGGATTCTCCATCACTTGATGTCTCCAAATCCAAACTGGCTGCCTTGCTGGAAGATGCTTTAGCCAAACGCAAGTTATTGGGCTCAGTACAGGTAATCAGACTAGATTATATAATGGGCCCTTCTGACTTCAAACTCTGTGAATCTATGAAAACCTACCCAGAACATACCTGTCTGAATCATCAATTTCTCCTGCTAATGGAAACAACCCTACAAGGCCCTGAATATTGGCAAACCACTGGGGCCGAGGGGAACAGCACTACAGAGAAAGCTTCACCTCACAACTTCTCCATCTATGGAGCTTTCTTGCCACAGGGCTCACAATGAGGAAAGTATTTGCAATTAACAGCTATGGGGATTGAGCATTATGGGTTTCTAGAGACAGGAGAATGGGGCAGACATGGAGGAGGCAGCTGGAAGCAGCCAGTCGAACCACTGATGCCCAGTGCCACGTGACCTAGAGGACTGAGCGTTGCCCTGTGGCTTAGAAGACCTGGCTCTGCTGCTGGGTGATCTTCAGTAAGTCAGTTTCCCTGCTCTGTGCCTCAGTTTCCCCACCTTTAAACAGGGATAATGATACTCCCTTCCTTTGTAAAGCACTTTGAGCTCTGCTAATAAAAAGCACATTATTGTTACTACTGTTTGAGCTAAAACAGCTCAGCATGCTGTTGTAGTTGCAAGAGGAAGACACTAGGGGGCAGACAGGCTCATATGCACTGTTGCGTGTATTTCCCCCCAATCTGTTGCATCTCACTGGACCAGCCCTGGGCTCAGAGGTTAAGTCATCACAAGACACTGTGCTGTGAAATGACTGTGTGTTTATTATAGGGCCATGTTTGCTCCCCACTATACAACGACTTGTTTTCTCCAGTGCACAGGCTGAAACACAAGCTTTGGGACAGATCCATCCCTGCTGTATTTCCAGTGGGGTCTATAATCTTTATCCCCCTCTTGTGACAGGCAGGTGCAGAGCAGCCTCTGAGAGCAGCAGGGAGCATGTCATATCCCACTGGAGTCTGTATCTCCTGTTCTATGCCTCCTCCCTCTGCTATCTGCAGCCCCCCAGTAGTGGTCAGGTGTCCTGCGCCATCAGGACATGCCTCAGTGGCAGCCGGCAGTGCTGCTGTACATCAGCCAGATAACACAGTATAATGATATCCGTGTCGGTGCTGAGTTACATTAGCCCCTGGTTCCATTCCCTGTGCAGCTGTGTGGTTGCTGAGCATTCAGAAATGCATGGTTCAGAGTTTGTCCCGGACTCCTTTCAAAGCAGCGGGGGAACAGGTTGCATTACAGAAAGCTGATGTCACCGTGGAGATAAAGGGCATCGCTGTGCTCCTTGGCATGCTCAGAGCTTTGGTTAGCCCTGGGGGTGGAGGGTTCCTGCCTGCCCCTGAGAGCTTTGAATCAGCCCGCACATTCCTTTCCCAGTAGGTTTCTCTTGCAACACTTCGCCGAAGCTGTGGTGCAGATTTAACCCCTTTCCCCCCTGAATCCTTGTGTGCAAAAACCTGCCCTGTGTGTGGGTCTCAAGGGACAAGTTGTTACCTGTGAGAGTCGTGTGTAATTGGATGACGGAATATTTGAAACTGAGCAGCTGCGACCCCCCCACCCCAATGGATCCCGAAGGCATCTGGGGCCGAGTGCCATCAGCAAGTCTCTCTGAGCAGAACTTTCTCCTGGTTCTGAAGGGGAATCTTCTCTTTGGTGTCTTCACCCCTCTTCATTCGGGACCTTTGATGAAAGAAGGGGGGAAATACCAATGAAGCAGAGAGGCAAAACAGGCATAAGTTATTTTTCAGCCAGTCTGAATACTAAAATGAGGCTCAGACATTAGTCACCAGGGCTGAACTTCACTAGAGGAACAATACAAGGGCATTATACCACTCAAAAACCCTGTGGTCTAGTGGTTGGTGCTCTGGCTGGAGACTGCTATTGACCTACTGTGACACTGGGCAACTTCTGTTTCCCCCACTCCCTGCATTGTCCATTTAGACCAGTGGTCCCCAAACTTTTCATTGTTGCACCCTCTCTTACCCCTGTCTGTGCACACACACCCTGAGCTGGGACTGGGAGCAGGACCGCAGTTCTGAGGGGTGAGGGGGGACATAGAGAGGGGTAAGGGGGTCCCCAGCTGGGGGCACGTCTGAGGCTAGGAACGGAGCCGTGGACAGGGGCTGAGGCTGGGGCCGGGGCCAGGCAAAAGTTGGGAGCAGAGTTGGGCTGGGTGGCACTCCCTCCCTGCTCCCCCGGAAGCTGGCCCAGGCCCTGCCGCCCCCCACAAATGTTCCTCTGGCACACCCCACATTTTGGACTGTCACAGATTTAGACTGTCAGATCTTCAGGACAAATCTGTCTCACTGTGCGTTTATACAGTGCCCAGCACAACAGGGGCCCCAACCTTGGATGGGGTCTGTGCAGCGCCTGGTCTGATGGGAGCCTGGATAGCTATCTATCTTTTGACATACAAGCCCAGTCTCTTTCTACTCACTGGAATCAGTCAGTGGATAGAGGATATCAGGAAACCCTTTGTACAGCACCTAGCACAACAGGGTCCAGGGCCATGATTGGACACCTGGGTGCCACAGTCATACAAATAATAACAACTCTCTGCACAATTTGTCTGGCTGGCTGCGGGGCGGACAGGGCTGATCCCAAGCACCAGCTGAGTGTTTTGGCCTTTGGAGCCCAAACCCTGTCTTGGCCGCAGGTGCCAGAGTCAGACAGGAAGAGCGGGGAGACCTTCCATCAGACCAACCTGCTCTCCACCTCCTCCACAGTGTCTGGCAGTGGTTGGTTGAGAGTCTCCGGGAGGAAGGTGGCCGCAATGCCAGAGATGATTGGGGCAGCACCGTAGACGATTGGCGGCAGGAAGGAGAAGTATTCATCCAACATCTTGGCCAAGGGAGCCACAATACCTCCTACCCGGGCCATGGTGCTGCCAAAGCCCAGTCCGGTCTGCCTGGCGTTGCAGGGAAATAACCATCCAGAACAGAGAAGGGTCAGCTCAGTACTGGGAGTGCAGAACTGCTGGGTGGGAATGCTAAACAGTGACACAGCAGGATGTGCTGCTCACCCTTCACAGTGCTGACCCCAGCATGGCACTAGGGGGCGCTGTGCTGCCGGGAGCAGGGTGAGGGCTCAGTAGGATATGCTGTCTTCTCACAGCCAGTGCAGACCCCCGTGTCCCAGCATGGCACGAGGGGGCGCTGTGCTGCAGGAGGCAGGGTGTGGGCTCACTAGGGGTATACTCTCCCCTCTCAGTCAGTGCTGACTCCAATGCTGCAGTGCCATGCTAGGGGGCACTGTGCTGCAAGGAATGGGGTGCAGGGCTCAGTAGGGGTCAGCTGGAAATACAGCATCTTACCTGATCGGTGTGGGGTAGAGCTCAGTTGTGAATAGAAACACGCAGTTGAAGGTGGCCGAAAGACATCCCTTCCCAATCACAGCCAGTGATGTGCGGACTATTTGCAGCTCTGCAAAGAGGGGACAAGGAGAATCCAGGGCTAGAACCCTGTTGCAAACTCCGAGCTCTCCCTTGCCTCCCTTCCATTCTGCATCCCAGCACTGTAACCTTGGCAGACTCTCTCCTCTGCCCTGTTTCACCTGGCATATCCCCAACCCTGCTCTTTCTTCCTTCGTCACTTCTCCAAGACCCAGCCTTTCCCCTCTCTCCCATGGGTAAGAATCTCCTCCATCTCTCATCTTGATTGTTTTGTCCTCTTCCGCTCTGACCTCACTCGCGCCTACCTCAGGACTATTCAGATAGGTGGCTGTGTATGGAGATAGATAGGTGGTTAGGTATGACTGAGGGAGTCAATTACTCTTTGTTTGAGTTACTTTAGACTCATTGACATTTCTTGGAGGTTACGCGCTAAGCATTGTCGTATGTGGACTGGACCAAACCCACCTCTGGGCACAAAGATGTTGGCAATGATGACAAGCCCAGCCAGGAAGAGGAAGGCTGAGAGCGTGATCCTGCGCCCAATGTAGGACATGGAGATGGTGACCAACACTTTGGCCGGGAAGTCAACAGCTCCAAAAATCAACTGGATCACGTAGATACTGACGCCAAAGTTCTGCAGATCCATGGCCAGCCCGTAATAGGAGAAACTGGTCGAGAACCTGCCGTTCACCATAGAGAGGGAGGCAAAGAGATGAGTGAGAGTCCTGTTGAGTGTGCAGCCCGGTGAGATTTAGCTCCAGGCCTAGTCACAATTTAAGCCCAATCTAGATGGGACTTTAGCACTATCTAGGCCCTTGTGCCAGCCCTGTGAACAGCCACAAGGCCCTCCCTCCCCAAGATAGAGTTGGCCAGGGGAAATTTTAGTGTTACACTTGTGGGTGCTCTGGTTGGTGTGTGCAGTGATGTAACACAGTGTGGGGGGCATTATTCAAAGCAGGGATGCCCAGGATTGAATGGACACACAAAGGGCCCTAAAATGCACCAGCTTTAGAGAGAAAACCCACAGACCTGATAAGAACCTGACAGACTGGAAGATAAGAGCTAGATAGACACATAAGGTAGACAGACAGACTGAGTATGTCTAGGGATGGATTGAAGCATGGATGAATAACCCTTAGGCAGACAAATGTCCAAAATCTGTGGATTATCTATGCTTGGAAATGGACTAAGTATCGATTTGTAGGCGATACCATGATGGAAGGGGTTGCAAGCACTTTGAAGGGCAGGATTAGAATTCAAATCAAGAGTGGGTCTGCCAAACCTAATTTGGATCCAGATTTAGGATCAGGGACGAAGAGAAGGAGTGCTCTTACCACACAACTGAGAGGCAGCAGAATATCCGGCGTATGGCAGGTGTGCGTACCAGATCCAAGACAGTGTAGGATGACTTCACCATTGACAGTTCCTTCTGCATTTTGGAATTTAGGATCTAGTAGGGAACAAAAAGGTCAGTCGGGAAGCCCATGACAGCCCCATGGATTCAGCTGTGATGACACAGGACCTGCAAATGGCTCCTTGCTTCGGCAAATGGTAGCTAGTCATTCCTTACTGAGGCAAACTCTCATGGACCTCAGGTTTCAATTCAACAAGACGTACTTATGATTGGATATAGAGTCCACATGTATTGACCATACAGGCCTGATATTATTGATACTATTAGTAATATTATGGTAGCACCAAGAGGCCACAACTAAGATCAGTGCTCAATTATACAGCTCTTTCCCTCCCCCACCCAGCTATTTGAACCCTACCCCCCACTCACTCTGCCAGTGCCCCTCAATCCTGACCCACAGCCCTAGCTGCTATCCCAGCCCTGGGCCTCCTTTGAGCCCAGACTACCAATCGTGTGAAATGATGTGCTGGTTTTATAACATAGACAAATATCCACAGGGGACTAAGTTAACATCTCTTTGGAGCAAGGGAGGAAGCTAGAGCTGGGCCAGCTCTCTGTTGAAATCAGGCTTTATTCAATCTCCTTTGCCCAGTGCTAGAAATCTGGTGGGACAGGCCCTAGTTCTGTGTCCTCTGATAGATTAAAAGGTTAAATGGCCTGATCCTCAGCTGGTGTAAATGAATGACTCCAGTGGAGTTGTGTCCATTTAGACCACCTGAGGAGCAAGCCCTTCATTAAAGACTCCATTGGGTCTCTTTACCTCTGTGGTAATCTTCTCCCCTTCTTCCCGTTTCCCATTCACTCTGGCGACCCTTTGAAGCACCTTCACTGCTCTGTCAGCTTTACCTGCCAGAACCAGCCAGCGGGCAGATTCTGCGAACCACCTGTTGAAAAAGGATAGTCAAATGTTTCTCTTGCAGAACCAAGGTCAATGATAAGAAAAGGAGTACTTGTGACACCTTAGAGACGAACAAATTTATTTGAGCATAAGCTTTCATGAGCTACAGCTCACTTCATCGGACGCATCCCATGAAGTGAGCTGTAGCTCACAAAAGCTTATGCTCAAATAAATTTGTTGGTCTCTAAGGTGCCACAAGTACTCCTTTTCTTTTTGCAGATACAGACTAACATGGCTGCTACTCTGAAAGGTCAGTGATGTGACCCACAACTTCGATGGGGTCCTCAAAGCAGGATCAGCTGAAATAATGCAGCACAAGATAATTATCTGTGTTACAGAGGGGGGAAATGAGGCACAGACAGGAGCAGGAACTTGCCCAGGGAGTCAGCAGCAGAGCCAGGAACAGAACCCAGGAGTTCTGTGCACCATCCTCTTGAAACCCAAATGCCTGACTCCTAGTTCCCTGCTGTAATTCTGCTTCTCTGAGAGCTGAGAATAGAATCCAGGAGTCCTGACTCCTAGCTCTAACCACTAGACACTGCTCCCCATCCTGTCTGCTAACAACCACAAGGAAAGAGGACAGCACTTGCACCTAGAAGGAGAGCTCTCCAGAGACACGTACCAGGAATAGATGAGGAAGAAGAAGAAAGGCAAAGAGACAGTCAGCTGGAGCCAGCGCCAGTTGGGGATGCCATATGCCAAGCCCGCCAGCAGGATCTGGCCCAGGGTATAGATGAATCCTGTGATGGCAATGGTGATGGTGCGGAACTGAGTGGGGATCCACTCCACAACTGCAAGGAAAGGAACCTTGTTTAACCTGCCCATGGGCAGTGACGAGGATACTGCTAGCCCTGACTCTCCTTGGACCCACTGGCACCACATGTTACTGCACCCTGCAGGGCTGCAACAGAGAAGAGGCAGCAGAGGGAATGTGAAAACAGCTCTGTACTTCGAGCTGAAATAGCCATGCTGGAGAAAGCAACTCTTGCCCCTGCTACCTTCAGACCCCCAGTGATAGCCAGGGATATTGCAGCCTCCAGTGCTGCAGCTCCCCCAGTGGTAGTAGATGGTATTACAACCCTGTGAGGCTGGAGCTGCTTCAGCCCATAGCCCAGTGGCAGCAGGTGGTAGCAAGGAGAATGTACAAACAGCCCAATACCCTGAACTGAAATAGCCCCATGGGAGCCTGCTTCCATGCTCTGCACTTCCTCCCTTTGCTACCTGCAGGCCCCTGGGTCATGCAGGTGTACTGAGCCCCCAGGAGATCCCCAGTGCCAGCAGGTGGTATTGCACCTTTTAGTACATCAGTCACAGTATCTGTTATGGGTTGAGGTGAGACACTTGAGACCTAGCTGCTAAACAGGCAGGGCTTACTCAGGCAAGCGATGCTGAGCCCAAAGCCAGATAGCGCCATCCCACCCAGGAAGCGGAAGACACAGTAGGAGATGTAACTGGGGGAGAAGGCCGTGCAGGTTCCCATGACAGCCAGCTGCAGAAAGGACCAGATCAGCATTGCCTTGCGTCCAAACCTATGGCAAAGGGGGACAGAGAAGGGAATAAGTAACAGGCATTGAGTTAACAGAGAAGGGAATAAGTAACAGGCATTGAGCTGGTCAGGGCTCAGCTGTGGGTCAAATGGGCTATGATGTGATTGGAGAGGAGGTGATTCTTGGGGCTGATAGGACCATTGGCTTCCAATGGCATGTCCAGCTAGGTTGCCATGGACGACAGACCATGAACAAGATGGGGACAATGTGGAGTGATGGTTGACAGATTTTAAGGCTAGATGGGAGCATTAGATTGTCCAGTCTGACTTTTGTATAACACAGATCATTGGGCTAATTCACTAGGACCGGAGGTCCCAAATGAAACTGGGGCTCCATTGTGCCAGGTGCTGCACAGACCCACAGTGAGACCAAAGCTCCATTGTGCCAGGCGCTGCTCCGCCCCTGACTGAGATCAGGGCCCCATTGTGCTGGACACTGCCCAGAGCTGAAGTGAGAGACCATCCCAGAGAGCTTGCCCCAAACAGACAGAGTACCAAAAGGAAAAGTGGGGCAGAGAGAGAGGGAGGGACTTGCCCCAGGTCACACAGCAGAGCAGGGAATAGAACGCAGGTTTCCTGAGTCCCTGCCCTGTGCTGCCCAGGTCAGCTTACCTGTCAGAGAGACCGCCTAGCACGAGTGCTCCCAGCAGCACCCCAGCCATGTAGATTGACTGCGCCATCTGCCGGAACTTCCGCAAGTTACACACCAGGTCCCACTGCAAGTGGGGGAAGGGAGACAGAGAGCAAGTCAGTAATTTCTGCAGAGGCCCAGTGGATGGTGGTCAGATCCTAAAGCACTGCAGCATTGCAACAAGTCACAGCCAGTGCGCTGTGAACTCACAAAGTGTCCGAGGTGCCTGGTGTCTATGTACACCAGTGGTTGCTGTCATTACACATGCTGTGGTTGTGCAACACAGTCACGGGTGTCCTGTTCTCATTACCCTGGAGCAACTCCCACTGGAATCACTGGGGCTGATTCTCACTCATGCTTAGGCCCCTCTGTGCCTCTCTGGCAACATAAAGGAGCCTTAAAGTGAGTGGTGTGGCCTCCTAGGAATCCCCACTGACCTGGATGCCTCCTTGGCTGGTGTGGAGCTGGAATAAGGGCTGATGCAGGGGAAGAATGGGCACCTGGCCAGAATGCACGGCACTCTGGCTATTCTCTTCCTCCCAGGGGCTGTGGGAAGCAGCACATATGTGGAGCAGCCCAGGGGTTCTTTTCCCTGGCTGCCATCCCTGCCCTGACCATTCTCCCCTCCCAAAAGATGCACTGGTGATGCTGATTTTGCAAAAGCAATTACAGTAACAAACACCATGGTAATAGGCCTACGAGAAACAGAGAGGGGTTTGTATGGTGATAGATGATGGGTGTGTCTGGGGATAGATATTACAGACACATGGAATGTGTTTCACACTACTATATCACCTGTATAAATGCTGTCCGTTATCTGTATGGGCTAGGGTTGGTATTCCAGGTTCCTGGGTGAGTAACAGGGTTAAACAAGTCTGGAGAAGCCTCAGCCCCTGGGGAAATTGCATAACCTGGTTTGAACTGGTTGACAAAGGTGACCACACAGAGGACTGAGAAAGGTCTGAAGTGATAATTCTCACCTGATCCAAGAAGTGATATAATGCTGTGCCCAAAAGGCACAGGGAGGGTTTGAAGTACTGTGTTCCTACCTCATTTGGACGATGGGTGACTGCCAGATAAGACAGGCACATGTATAAACTATTGATTGTTTTCAAGGTATGGTTTTCTGTAATGCTTTAGTTCTGAATAAATTGTACTTTGCTTTCGGATAGCTGGCAGGGCCCTGGGTAAGCAGAGCTGCAGGTGTTGAATTCAAGTCAGGCCTGCAGGGATAATCACAGTGAGTTGCAAGAAGAATGGCAAGTTTGCTCTGGGGGGAGAGAGTTGTGGGACTCCATCCCAATAGAGGTGAGGACCGGAGGCTTGAGACCTTAGTGGGGGTGCCCTAGAGGAGGCCACGAAGGGGTCAGACATTTAGTTACCACAGGAATTGTGAGGACATGTAGATGGAGGGGTGCGTAAGGAAATGGATGGATAGACTAACAAATCAAAATCTCTGCAGATATGTTCTCGGCAGTTTTTACCAAGAACCCCAGTCATTAGAGCAAAGCATTTGTGGGCATGTTAGCTCCCAGCAGGTAGCTTGAGAGAGCCCAGTGCCATGTGGCCAGGCAGTGGCCTTTGTACTTCCTTCAGAGTAATTTTGGACTGTAGAGTTTCTGTGGTGTTGATCAGTATCACTGGGATTCATGGAAGTGATGTTCTGTAGTCTGTGGTCCGCCATAACCCCCAGCTCATTCCCAGCAGTATGACAGCTTAGCCAGTTAGTCCTCTTTCTGTAGCTGTGCATTGTTTTTTTCCTTCCTAACTGCAGTACTTTGCACTTGCCTTTACTGAATTTCATTGTGTTGATTTCAGACTGTAACAAGCTGCCTTGCTTCCCAGCTCCCAGAGACCCCACTGCTGCTCCCGAAGTCTCTTCTCAGGCACTTTTATTTCTCCAGGCTTTGGGCAAACGCAACACAAACAGTTCCTCAGCCCACCCTGGGCTACAGCTTCCAGCTAGGGTGACTGGGACCATCACGGCCAAACTGGGACATACATTTTTCAGCTCTGTCCGGGCCGTCCCTACTTTTCCCCCAAAACTGTGCATTTGTCCCGGCTGCAAGGCAGAGTGGAGGGTGGGGGCTACTGTCCAGGGGCTCAACTGAAAGCAGCACTGCCTGCCAGCAGGAGAGCAGAGAAATTTGCTGCTGACGGGCAGTGCTGCCTTCTTCAGAGCTGACCCCCTGGGCAGCGTGGAGCTCGGTGGGTCAGCCCCAGTCCCGCCGCAGGTGTCACAGAGCTCAGTGAGTCCATCTCAGCCCTGGACGGCATAGGGAGGGCAGCTCTGGTGAGCTCTGTCCGTGGGGGGATAGGGGAGAACAGGGGAAGGGGGAGCAGCTCGTGGAAGCTCTGGGCCATCCCGTTTTTACTTTAAGAAATATGGTCACCCTACTTCCAGGGGTTTTTCCCCTTTACCTTTCAGTGGTTCCAGCAGGAATCTTCCATGCTCTGTTCCCTGAGCACCACCTCCCAGGGCTTTCTCCTTGGAAGGCCCTTTCCCCCCAGCAGGTTTCCCCTGCCTCCCCTCCCAGGGATCGCTTAGGAATTCCCTGATTCTTGCAGCTCCCTGGCTCTGTCTCAGCAGGTCTCTCCCAGCAGGTTCCCACGGCCTCCCATCCACAGAACTTCCTGCTTCTGGCCTGTGTCCCTATTCCCAGGGAGCTAGCAGCGGCTTCCCATGTCTACTCTCTCTACGCCCTTTCCTAACTGATGAGACCTGATGCACCCAGGTGTCCCCCTCTAATCATTATACGCTGACCAAGCACAGGTGCATTGGCCCTGCTCCTTCTTAGAGAACTGATGTCACCCTGTGACATAGGCATTTCTCCAACTTATCAAGGTCCTTTTGAATTCTAATCCTGCCCTTCAAGGTGCTTGCAACTCCTCCCATCATGGTGTCACCTGCGAATTTGATAAACATACTCTCCACTGCATGATCCTAGTCACTAAATGAAAATGTCGAATAGTACTTGAGGGACCCCACTAGATACATCCTCCCAATTTGACAGCGAACCATTGGTTACTATTCTGAGAATGGTCTTTCAGCCAGATATGCACCCCCCCGTTATAGTAGTTTCATCTAGACCACATTTCCCTAATTTGCATGTCATGTGGGACTGTGTCAAAAGCCTTGCTAAAATCAAGACCTATCACATATACTGCTTCCCCCCATCAACTAGCCAGTTACTCTGTCAAAGAAGGAAATTAGGTTGGTTTGTCATGATTTGTTCTTGACAAATCCATGTTGGCTATTACTTACAACCCTATTATTCTCTAGGTGCTTACAAACTGATTGTTAAATAATTTGTTCCAGTATCTTTCCAAGTATTGTAGTGGGCTGACTGATCTATGATTCTATGATTCCTTCTTTATTCCCCTTTTTAGAAATAGGTACATTTGCCCTTCTCCAGTCCTCTGGGACCTCACCCATCTTCCTTGAGTTCTCAAGGATAAACACTTACGGTTTTGAGATTGTTGCAGGTAGTTCCTTAAGTACCCTAGGGTGAATTTCATCTGGCTGTGCCAACTTGAATACATCTAACTTGTCTAAATATTCTTTAATCTGTTCTTTCCCTATTCTGGCTTGTGTTCCTTCCCCCTGGTTCTTAATGTTAAATCTGTTAAACATCTTGTCACAATTATCCTTTTCAGTGAAGACTGAAGCAAAATGGGCATTAAACTCTTCAGTCTTTTTAATGTCATCCATTAGCAGCTCTCCTTCCCTGCTAAGTAAAGGACCTACATTTTCCTTTGCTTTTCTCTTGCTCCTGATGTATTTATAGAATCTTCACTTATTGCCTTTTATATCCCTTGCTAGGTGTAACTTGCTTTGTGCCTTAGCCTTTCTGATTTTGTCCCTTCATACTTGCACTATTCTTTTGTACACATCCTTAGTCATTAGTCCATGTTTCCACTTTTTGTAGGTTTCCTTTTTGATTTTCAGGTCATTGAAGATCTCCTGATGGGCCATATTGGCCTCTTACCTTTCTTACTGTCTTTCCTGTGTATCAGGATGGTTTGCAGTTGTGCCTTTAATATTGTCTCTAAGAAACGGCCAGCCCTCTTGAACTCCTTTTTCCCTTAGCCCTGGTCTACACTAGGACTTTAGGTTGAATTTAGCAGCGTTAAATCGATGTAAACCTGCACCCGTCCACACAATGAAGCCCTTTATTTCGACTTAAAGGGCTCTTAAAATCGATTTCCTTACTCCACCCCTGACAAGTGGATTAGCGCTTAAATCGACCTTGCCGGCTCGAATTTGGGGTACTGTGGACACAATTCGATGGTATTGGCCTCCGGGAGCTATCCCAGAGTGCTCCATTGTGACCGCTCTGGACAGCACTCTCAGATGCCCGATTGTTTGCCGTTGCTCTGACGCAGGGAGGGGCGACTGAGGACACGGCTTACAGGGTTGGCTTCAGGGACCTAAAATCAACAAAGGGAGTGTCTTTACATCAAGGAGTATTTCAGGCAGGACTTCACGGAGGGTTCCAATAAGAAATGGTGCACCTAAGTTATCGTTCTTATTGGAACAAGAAGGTTAGCCTGGCCTCTGATTGATACATGGCTAGATTTACCTCGCTGCACCTTCTCTGTGAGTGACTGCAGTGTGACCTAGAAGAATGAGTCCCCTAGACGGGGGAGAGGGGGAAGCAAATGAATACAGAACAAATCTGGTCTATTTCTTGTTTTGATCCACTCCATCTATCTTTTACGTCTTTGGCTGGCAGCAGACGGTGCAGAAGGACTGCATGCCATCCACATCTCATGGCTGCTCGGCAGAAGATGGTACAGTACGACTGCTAGCCATCCTCATCTCTTGCCTGCTTGGCAGAAGATGGTACAATACGACTGCTAGCAATCCTCATCTCTTGCCTGCCTGGCAGAAGATGGTACAGTACGACTGCTAGCAATCCGTATCGCCTGCCTGCTCACCATAAGACGGTTCAATAGGACTGACTGCAGGACTAAAGAGAATGACCTGGTCAAGTCACTCTAAATTAAGTCCCTGCGCCCATGTCTGTCCAGGCGCTCCCAGCCGACGTGGCCAGGAGCACCTCGGACATGACGATGACGGCTACCAGTCGTACTGTACCGTCTGTTGCCACAAGGCAAGGGGTTGCTGCTACTGTGTAGCAAAGCCGTACCGCGTCTGCCAGCACCCAGGAGACATAGGGTGACGGTTACCTGAGCGGGCTCCATGCTTGCCATGGTATGGCGTCTGCACAGGTAACTCAGGAAAAAAGGCGCGAAACGATTGTCTGCCCTTGCTTTCACGGAAGGAGGGAGGGAATGGGGGCCTGACGATATGTACCCAGAACCACCCGCGACAATGTTTTAGCCCCATCAGGCATTGGGATCTCAACCCAGAATTCCAATGGGCAGCGGAGACTGTGGGAACTGTGGGATAGCTACCCACAGTGCAACGCTCCGGAAGTCGACTCTAGCCTCGGTACTGTGGAAGCGCTCCGCCAAGTTAATGCACTTAATGCACTTAGAGCATTTTCTGTGGGGACACACACACTCGAATATATAAAACCGATTTCTAAAAAAACGACTTCTATAAATTCGACCTTATTCCGTAGTGTAGACATACCCTTAGATTTTCTTCCCCTGGAACCCCACCTACCAGTTCTCTGAGTTTGTTAAAATGGGCTTTTTTGAAGTCCATTGTCCTCATTCTGCTGCTCTCACTCCTTCCTTTCCTTAGAATCACTAAATCTCTCATTTCATGACCACTTTCGCTCAGATTGCCTTCTGTCTTCAGATTCTCAACCAATTCCTCGGCTAGTCAGAATCAAGTCTAAAATAGCCGACACCGCTCCCCCCTCCCCCCCAGCCACTTCCTCACCTTTTGAAACAAGTTGTCTCCAACACATTCCAATAACTTATTGAAGATTTTGTGTTTTGCTGTATCTCTGTCCCCATACAAACCGCTGTGTCTCTTTGTCCCATACACATCCCTTTGTCTACCTAGTTATGTATGCGATCCTCCTCTCTCTGATTCCAGAGCACCTGGACATTAATGGCACCTGGTGCCCCCAACATGCCCATTCCACCTAGTTCCTAGCAGCGGAGTATGTCTCACCTCGGTAATGATGGTGGAGGTGAACACGCTCCTATCGTAGGTCCATCCTTCCGTGCAGGGCTCTGTGTCCAGCTGAGTTCCATTGGGCTCGGTGACATTGGGGTCTAGGAGCTGCCACTGAGCGGTGACAAAACGGCGGCACTTCTCTGGCTGCCGGTTCCTGTCCATGGGGATGGTGACCTGGAGCAGGTCCTGGGAGCCCAGGTGCAGGGTGGCATTAGCGTAGCGGGTGTTGTTGGCATTGATATGGACTTGGCAGTGGTGCCCCGGGATGGCGGCGGTGAAGTTCTGCAGGAGGTTGTGGCTGGCCATCAGCACGATGGGGATGGTAAGCAACATTGTGTGGATAATTTGGAAACGTCCCATGCCGCCCACCTGGTGTAAGAATTCGGCGAAAGACATGGTCCCGCTGGAAGCACCTTGCCCTCAGAAATAACCCCAGGCTACAAAAAATACTCTAGGATCCAAAATACTTCTAGAGCTGCATGGATCTCAAACCCAAAAGGTGATTACAGGGCTGCTGCTGCCTCTGAGCTAATGCAACTCCTTCTGTAATTGAACGTCACGCTCCTAGATCCAGCAGTCCAGAGGTCACTCCCCTCAAGGGGAATCTGGTGTGCAACAGACTGGGGCTTTAGAAGGCTGATGGAAGAGTCCGTGGAGCCCTGGAGAGATTTGGCGTCTACCTAAGACGCTGCTGCGGAGTTGCTCCCAGTGCTGAAATATCCACAGGAGAGCTGGCAAAAGAGCTTTTTAGTTTGGTCGAGGTGCTTCTGCCATGGATTTGTACCTGTGGCTTGAGATTAAAGTCCCTGTGTCTGTGAATCTTCCATGTAGCCCAGCAGAACCGGTGTCCCTTCTATGGCAAACAAAACAGGGCTTGTTAAAATCCACCATCAGTCATCTGCTTTGTAAATGTCACTAGGCACCTTTGCTAGGGGGGTGAAACCTTCCTAGATTCCTGTTTTCCCCCTTGCGGCAAAGAGATCCTGATTTAAGGGTCTTTGAGAGGATTATATAAGCTTTAATCAGCTCATTTGGTTAAAGTTATACTCCTGTTTTAAGGGATTAGTTCAAATGAAAAGGGAAAAAAGCTGAAAAAAATTAAAGGGGAAAATGGAGAAAAATGCAGCAGAGGAAAGTGCACTGGGTCTCGCTGGAGGACAGGTTCAGTCTAAGGCTTGGGGCTCAGAATTGTGACATCCCCACAGAGCAAAGTCAGGGGAAGCCAGCCTTCTGGAATTGGAGAGGGGATGAGAAAGGAAATGCACCAGTGCTCTCTGCTGGAGGGACTGTGTTCAGAAATGTACAAGCTTTTTACACGACCAGGGCTCTGGGTGGCTTGGTAAAAGGCCTGTGGGTTCTAGAGGTCAAAGTGCCTAGGTCTGGTTTCTCCCACTGGGGAGCGTTGCGGGTGTCTTGTGACACATTTACCTGGGTTCAGCCATCATAGACGGCTGCATGAGCACGTTGATCTGGGAAAGTGGAGGAAAAATTAAATCTAAGATGGCCCTGCAGGTAAGACAGTGGACTGGGATGCAGGTGACCTGCGATTAGGGCCCTCCACCCCCACCCCTTCCAGTCATGAAGGATGCTCCACAGAGCCTGACCGAGATCAGGACCCCCCTCTTGTGCTGAGTGCTCCATGGATCCTGACTGAGATCAGGACCCCCCTCTTGTGCCAGGCGCTGCACAGACCCCAGTTAGATTGCAGGCCACCCCAGTGTGGTAGGCACTGCATGGGTGCACAGCAAGAGACAGTCCCTGCCCTGAAGAGCTCAGTCTAAACAGCCAAAGAAAGATAATTCTCCCCCATTTTACAAACAGGAAAACTGAGGCACAGAACGATTACGTGATTTGCTCAAGGGATCTCCTGGGTCCCAGTTCTTTCCCACAAGGCCATTGTTCATCTGCTGGTTAGGAATGTCAACCAGTGCATCGGTTCAGCAGAGCCAATGGTAACAGGTCAAAGCCAAATGTAGTTACACAAAAAGCAGAGGCGGTAACAGATGCAGGGGACTGCGTGTCAAGACCTGGGGGTGGAGCTGCTCCATTCAAAGCCTGAACTCCTTAGCCTGGGAAAACACCCACTATAGGCCAGTCCCTGGGGGTGGGAGGGATATTTGCATGGCCTTAGTTCTGTGTCGGAAGGATGGTGTTATGGGTAAGGCACTGGACCATGACTCCGGAAAAAATCCCAGATGTAAAACTCCTCGTGCCTCAGTTACCCCAGCTGTCTGTTTAAACTGTGAGCTCTTTGAGGCAGGGTCAGTCTATCGCTTTGTGTCACAAAATGGGGCCAAGGTCTGTGCAGCACCAAACACAATGGGGCTCCAATCTTGGGCGAGGTCTATGCATATTCTGTTCTATGGAGGTTCTGATCTGCCTTCATCACCATAGTACCTCAGCACCTATCTTTGCACCACCACAGTTCCCACTGGCTTCAGCTGCGACTGAAAACTGGGCCATGGTTTGGCCCCCCCGAATTCAAAGGCCGTGAAGATGTTGGCATTTACCTCCCAGCTGCATCACCGGTTGACCTGCCAATCAATGCATCTCTATAGAGCTGCATGCCACAGACAACTGACTTTATTCAGAGCCTCGATAATTTACCACATAATGTTTCATGGCTACTGCCTCATTATTCAAAGCCGGTCCAACTACGAGGGCCAGATTAGATGGTCACACTGAATAGAGTTTGGACAGTGTTGGGGGTTGCTAAACTGGCAAGTATTTGCTAGTCACTAGTTAAAGGGACCCTGTCCTAGTACGAAGAACACGTTGGGCCTTGGAGTTTAGCCTTAGTAAGAGCTGCAGGATTTGTCCCAGTCGGTGACTGGTGCTTTGTAAGAAGGAAACAGACACACCGGTCTCTTTTATTGCCTATTGCAGCTGCAGTTTGTCCTCTTCTACCTCTTCGATCATTGATATTTATGTTACAGTAGCGCTCCCAGGTCTTAACAGAGATCAGGGCTCTTGTTGGGCCAGGCACTGCACAGGCCCCCTGATGGAGAGCAGGGCCCCATCGTGCCAGGCGCTGCACAGACCTTTGCCAGGATCAGGGCCCTGCCATGCGAGGTGCTGTGCAGACCTTGGCAGAAATCAGGGCCCCATCCTGCCAGATGCTGCACAGATGTATGGTGAGAAACAGCCCTTGCGCCAAAGATCTTACACTGTAAATTGACAAGGGAAGAATCATTCTCCCCATTTCACAGATGAGCTGAAACTGAGGCCCAGAGTGATGCAGTGACTTGCCCAAGGTCACACAGGAAGAATGTGTCAGAGCTAGCAATTGAACCCGGATTTCCTAAGTCTCAATGCAGTGTCATAACCCAACTCAAAGAAAGCCAAACTAGCTGAACTTGGACACCCCACTCCGTTCTGCACTGTGTTATGGAGGGGGCCGAAGGCCAGCTTCTCAGCTGCAGCTCATTGCAAGGGGGCTGCACTGGGGGAATTCGATTTGGAGTTAGGGTGGGGCAGAACCCTATGGCATAAATCCCCTGCCCCATCCCCAAAGACCCTGCCTACGATGGGAGGAAGCAGCAGCCTTTCTCCTGGCAGGGCCAGCAAAGCAGATTTGCCGATGGCTGAACCATTTCGTCATGTTGTAAGTTGCTGGCTTATTTGAAGCTTGGCACAAGCATTAGACAGCAAGAATGGGGCCAGTGACGAGCTGATCTGCCAACTCCTTACTGCTGTGCAGAGCAGAAAGAACACTCTCTCCTCCTATCGCAGTGAATAAAACCCAGGAGTCCTGACCTCCAGCCACCCCTGCTCTAACCCGCTAGGCTTCCAGAGAACAAAAACCAGGAGACCAGACTCCCAGTCCACTTTGTCACCACTAGACCTCACTGCCCTCCCACAGCTGGGACTAGAACCCAGGAGTCCTAATGCTTAGATCCTACAGTGAGAAGGCCCCTACTTAACTTTCCCTTGGTGTAACAACTAGACCACCAAGCTAGTTGAAGAAATACCCACCCAGCCCATGCAGCCAACTGACTAGGTCCGGAAGGTTCAGCTGCTGAATTCACTGGTATAGGAGCTAAGGTGATGCAGAGGCTGATGCCACATGGTTAGGTTTTCAGCACAGAGCCAGCTCACCAGTACCCTGTGGCAGAGTCAAATTGATCACAGCGGCCCTGCCATGGGGGGAAGGGGGAGCACACAGAGCGCCTGCCCTGCGGCCGGGAGGGCATGAGGAAGGGGCTGGGGAGTTGCAGTGTGTCCCTGAACTAGAGGGGGTTGGGATGGTGGCACCCAGGAAGCTGTGGAGGGAATGGAGGGATGCAAGGAGCCCCTAGTGTTTGCAGGGTGCTCCACCAGCAGAATCTACAAAGTGGGCGACCCCTACTGTCTGATGTGGCAAAAACCGTCGCTCCTGAGCCCTGGTGGCTGCTGCATAGGTGAATATTAGGCTCCTGTGGGGCAAAGGAGGCCTGTCTTGTGGTTGAGGCACTGAGCTAAGACAGAGACCTGGGCCCGGTTCCCTGTGTGTTCTTGGGCAAGTAGATTCCACTCGCTCGGTGCCTCACTTTCACCCATCTGAGTGTAGCATAACTCAGGTGTGATTCACCGGGGTGGTGGCTCTGTTACAGGTATCTGCTGGAAAGTCTGCCTGTAGCGACTCGTGAATTCAGCTCTGGAGGTTCCCAGCTCAAGCCCCGCTGTGCTGGTCATGATGACATGTATCAGCCCAGCACAGTGGATTTGCCCAGTCTAGGCAAGACCTTGGTGAAAGACCTTGCCCTGGTGAAGCTTACAGGGTGGGGAGGGAAATGACTTGCCCAAGGCAATTTGGGGCAAAGGCAAGCCTAGACCTCAGAGCTCTCAGCTCCACAGCCCATCGCTAGTTCATGCCATGCATGACCGCCTGCCGACTCACGTGACCTTTTCCCTTCCACCTCATTCCTACACCGCTCTCCTGGCTGCAGCCACCCTTTGGACCAGGCTGGAATTTGTTGGGTCGTCTTTTTTGAGCTGTAATCAGAACCCTGGTGAAGGTTCGCTAACCAAGGTCGAGGACCCATGATGCATTGGTGTCATGGTGGGGTGTTTTTCCAGCTGGTTCAGGCAAGTTAGTGGGTCAGATGGAACTTGGCAGAGTGTTAAGCTAGTTTCCGGAGAGGACATGCAGCCTCATGACTAGGGCCCTCCCCTAGGACTCTGGAGATCGCGCTGCCATTCCCTGTTCTAGTCCAGATATTTGAGCAAGTCGCTTGTTGTCTGTGATATTTGCACTATCATAGCACCTTGGAGCAGGATCCGATTGTGCTAGGCCCAGCACAAAAAGATGGCCCCTCCTCCAGCGAGCTGCCAATCTAAGGATAAGACAAGAGATGACAGTTGGATACAGCCAGACGAGGGAGCAGAAGGTAACCAGGAGACAATCACTGTCAGCTTGACAGGCTGTGGGCTCAGACCACCAGTGGCCTAACTGTTGTCAAGGTGTTGGTAGGCCTCCCGGCAATGGAGCATTTGAGACAAGTTTGAAGGTGGACAGTGAGGTGGCTTTGTGGGTGTTTACAGGGAGCTCTTCCCAAGTGCGAGGGGCAGCAGAGGAGAAAGCATGAAGGGGTTTGTGTGAAAATGTAACTAGTGGGCACTGGGCGATGGAGGCCGGCATCATGGGCTGGCTGGAGGCAGAAGTCATCACCTCCATAGCGGATGAGAATGATAGGTCAAGTGGGGATGGAGCATGAAGTACCTTGAAAGGGAAGACAAGTGGCTTAGGTCTATGTGAAAGAGAAGGGGGAGCCAGTGAAGGGATGCAAAGACCGGAGTCAAAGCGATAGGCTAAGAAAATGACCTTTAGCTCTTTACATAACACAAAGCAACCACACAGGCACAATGGGGTCCAAATAACAGTGGTTACTGAGGACACAAAACATGCAAGGCCTAGTTACATTCCCTGGTTGGGTTCTAAAACATAGAACACGGTGAGCACCACTACAGCACCAATTATTTAAAGGGATACTACCCTATTCCTACACACTACTTCACTTATGCTCTGTGCCTCAGTTTCCTACCTTTTAAAAATGGCCGTAATGAACGTCTCTGCCTCAAAGGGGTTTTGTGAATAGGGGCTGCTAAAAACTTTTTCCACCTGAACTTTTTTTTTTAATGGAATATTAAAGTTTGACTAAATGGAAATTGTCATGAATGATGTTTGCGTTCCTTGAAAAGTTTTAATTTTTTTGTTAGAAAATTGAAAACCAACCCCCCAAACTGAAAATTTTTCAGTTTTCAGGCAAATTTTTCTGCTTTCCGGAGTTTGGGGCCAAAACTTTTCTATCAACCAATTGGGGGGGGGGTGCTGAGAGAGGATGGGTATATCAGGATGGATATCTATATGTAGATGGATGTGTGGGGAGGGTGGGAGGCAGGGATAGATCGATCCATTTGTATGTGAGATGTAAAACAGACCCCAATGCTTAGTGTTCTCTCAGTTCTAGATCTCACTCTGGCCTCTCGGAGACAGCGTACAGATTCATCTACACATTGTCCTGGAGGCCAGCAAGGACGATTAGATCATCTAGCATAACACGGGCCAGAGAATCCCGCCCCAGCAATTGGTGCAATGGAGTGAGTTCCCTTCCCTACTATGAGTGTGAGTGAAATCCTACCCCCATTGAGGTAATTTGGAAAACTCCCATTGACTTTGTGGGGCCCAGAGTTTCACTTTTGTGTCACTGCAGTGGGGCGTTTCATGGCACATTTGGGTATGATGGCCCCTGTCAAGACCATGAAAAACTGAGGAGAAACAGCTGGATCTGCAGGAACAACATCTGGAGAGCCAGTCGGTAGAGAGATGGCCTGGGGCAAATTTGCTTGTTAGGGAATGATCCTAACAAGGAACCTGCTTGGAGACCCATTTGGGAAGATTGTGATCACCCCACAAATGAGTTGTAAGCGCAGTCTGGCAAGTCAACAAACAAATGAGCATCAAAGTCCAGCCCTGATCCTTCCAAGCAGCTCCTGGGACAAAAGCCACCGGAAGTTGCTGAGTCTGTTTTTTTCTCCGGGTAATAGGATGGCCCCTTAATCTACAGTTGAACATTTCCAGGGTCAAAGGTCCTGCACCAGCTGTGCTGCCCTAGCCTAGAAGAGCTGGGTTCTGTTTCTGGTTTCTATTTGCCACTGACTCCCTGTATGACTTTGAGGGTTTCCCTTCCCTAGTCTTAGTCTGTTCTGGTTACAAGGATTGTCTTTCACTCTTCGTGCAATGCCTGGCAGAATGGGGTCCTGATCTATCTACTTCAGGGTATATGCAGTGCCCAGCATGATGTGGGCCCCATTCTCGGTTGTGCTCCTGTAATACAAATAATTACAACTTTACTTAAAGTTATGCACAGGCTTAAACCTTTGCAGAATTGGACCCTGTTACGTTGCATCCCACTTGGGTGGAACTTAGCCACAAAATCACATGAAAAACTTTTGGGACAACACTACCATCTGGTGGAGGGAAATTACACTTTTAAAAAGAACAGGAGGACTTGTGGCACCTTAGAGACTAACCAATTTATTTGAGCATGAGCTTTCGTGAGCTCAAATAAATTGGTTAGTCTCTAAGGTGCCACAAGTCCTCCTTTTCTTTTTGCGAATCCAGACTAACACAGCTGCTACTCTGAAACCTAAATTTTTTAAATAATTGTTTGTTTGTTTAAGTTTATTGTTGTGACTGACAAAAGGGCATGAATTTATGCAACACTTGGGGAGCATGTTTCTTCCTCCAAAGAAATTAAATGAGAGGCCAATCATGCAAGCTATTCCTGACACATTATTATTAATTACTTATATTACTTAGTTACAGTGGCCCACAGAAGCATTAGCCAAGATCATGTCCCTGGCATACTAGGCAAGGCACAGCCCCAGGGAGAGACAGCCCCTGCCCCGAAGAGCTCCCGGTCAAAATAGACAAAGGAAGGATTATTATGTCCCCATTTTACAGATGGGGAAACTGAGGCACAGATCAATTAAGTGACTTGGCCAAGGTCACACAGAGAGTGTGGGGGAAGAGCTGGGAATTGAACCAGATGCCCTGCATCCTCAGTTAGTGCTTTAGCTGCAAAGCCAGCGAGCCACACTCAGAATCTCATGACTTCCACGCGAACTTAGGAGCCTGTACGGGCAGGAACTGGGGTTCAAGGTCCACCTCAGATCCCAAGTAAAATGAGTTTTCTAGTCTCAGCTGAATTCCCTGCAGGGGAAATATGTCATCTCACCCACCCACCCCTAAAATATTGCAAACGCCAAAAGAAGCTTGATCCCTAAAGGCTTAAAAACAATAAATAAACAGAAAGTAAATTAAATAAGCCCAGCATTTATTAGTGTGTTTTTTTCTAATCTTGTGATTTTTAAGCCAATCTCATGATTTCTTGGAGGGAGCTGATTCATGATTTATGAACTCCTGGGGCTGGCAATATTGCTGACTCATGATTTTTTTACCCTCAGTTTTTAGCGACACTGCACGAGTCAGCAGCGCAAACACTCAGTGGGTCAGACCCTCCACTGGTGCCAATGGCTGTAAGCCAATCAACACCACCTGAAGATCTGGCTCAGCATTTCCCTGACAATGGAGGAGGGCACTAGGACCCTGCATGGAATGTGAAAGAACCAAAATCTGTCTAGGAGGCAAGCTGGGGTGGATTGCTGTTACAAATTTCTCTCCACCCAGTGTGATTGCATCATGTGACTGCTCCAAGCTCTAAAGTTCCCTGCTGGAAGCTGAAGATAACTATTGGGTTTTAGGATTTTCAAGCCATGGGCCCCAGTCCTCCGGTAGATTTCATCCTCCAGCCCCCAGTTTTCCACCCGGTGAGTAATCTCTGTGCCCTGGGGCAGCCAGCGTGCAATGAAATTGAAGATCAGTTCACTTCTACTTCCGGCCTTTGCCCAGTTTCATGTGTTCTTATAGCTGAATCATGCTGTGTTCAGTGGGTGTCAGTCCAGAGCCAAGGTATTGAACTGAAAGGAGTGGCTCCAGCCCCCAGGTTTATAGGGGTGCATCTGATCTGAGAGCAGATTATAGCTCCTGCACTCCCATTGTTTGTATTGTGGTAGTAGGTTGGAGCCTAACTCAAGGACCAGGACCCCACCGTGCTAGATGCTGTACAAACAGAACAAAGAAGCAGTCCTTGCCCCAGAAAGCTCCCAAGCTAATGTTCCCCCCTCCTCTCTCTTTCCCTCATGGGCCAAGTTGTGTTTTGTTTCCCCAAAAGAGGCAATTGATCTCTGAATGTCTCAAACCTTGGGGTGCCTGACACAAGGCCCCTTACAAAGGCTCTGATTGCCCAGAGGGTGGGTGTTTGCCATTTACTTTAAAACATGCCTTTGTGGGTTTTTTTGTTTTCTCAACGGATCTCAAGAAGGGTGCTGTCAGATATCTGACAGCTGACCTCCCTTCCTGGCAAGCTGGCTCCTTGAGTCCCTACTGCAGCGGGGACTGTCTGGCTTGATCTTAAGTCTAAAGAAAACCTGACTTTTAAAGGGTTAAACCCCAAGCCCTGCATGTGTGACTAGTTTAGATGGAATCTCATTTTAAGCTCCTCTGTGCAGCTGTGTTTGTTTGTTTGGGGGGAAGGGGCTAATCAGGTTATCACTAAACTTTTTGGCCATCTGGCTGTTGTCTGCACAAATGTCTTTCTGTTGAGCCTTTCTGGACTGATCATGTGAGACTCTGTAAGGTACAGAAACTTCAGCTGAGACCAGGCAGGCGGTTGCTAGTTTCCTTAAATCAAGTCAGTTCCTAGCCCAGGAGGTTGGAGTTGTGGCTCTGCTGCCAGGCATCTGCTTTACAAAAAGGTGCTGTTTTTTTAGCTCCTGAATCCATTGTACCCTCAATTCTCCCCAAAGTTTAGTGGGGTTCAGATAAAACATTCTGGCTTTTAATCATCTGGTCAACTAGCCTCCACCAATGGGGAGAAGGGCTGGGGCTTAGGGGCTGTATTATTTTCATACCCTTGTGTGTCTGATCACACTTCCCCCCACCCCTGTAGCTTTTGGTTTGACTAGATTTTTTTTCCAGCACTGACCACTAGCCATTGTGCTAAAGCAATAACTGGTGTCTGAAACCCTGGGAAACCGAGGCACAGAAAGAGGAAGAAGTGGGAGTTTCTTGTGCAAGGTCACACAGTGAATCAGCTGGAGATAAGACACCCAAGTTCTAACTCCCATTTGCCCCAGCTAATCTGCTCCTGTTTTAAGATGCCATCCATGAGACCCCATTCTCCTCTCAAAGCTGGGCATAGAACCCAGGAGATCTGTATTCACAGCACCCCTGATCTAGCTGCTCTCCTCCCCTCCCAAAGCTAGGAATGGAACCTAGGAGTCCTGTCTCCCAGCCCCAACTGAGCACAGATGAGAGCCTCCTCTCCCTGCCTTCAAACTCTCTATATTCATTCTCCTCCCAGAGCTGGAGAGAGAACCCAAGAGTCCAGTGTTACCAGTCAGAGCTCCCAGACTCTCCCATTTCCAGCACCAATATGGGTCCCTCTCCTCCACCTCTCTGTCCATTCCAGGTGCTCCCGTACATCACGACGATCTTCGGTGGCTTGACCCATGGAAAGATGGTTCTGGTGCAGGGCATGGTCCTTGCAGAGGCCGAAAGGTAAAAGGCTATTTCCCTGGGGCTCAGGCTTCTCATCCTACTCAAACCCCTTGATTCATGGCTCCTGCAGTCAGACAGAAAATGCACCAGTTCAGTGGCTGCTGGGAGTTAATTGTGTTAAACCCTCTGATTTTACAGAGCTCAGGTGAGCTGTAGCTAGAGTTTCCTTTAGTCAGGGAGTTTCAGGATCCTTCCAGTCCCTTACAAGGCTGGGCCAGGAATTTGCTTATCTATGATGCCACTCTATGGGCCTGATTCTTAGCTACAGTGAAGCCTTTCTTGCAGCATAAGTCGGTGGAAATGCTCTCCTGATGTAAGGGAATCCCTGACTGGTGTAAGGTCAGAGGAATCATGGCATTATTGGTACAGCACTGGACTGTGACTTGGGGGACCTGGGTTATACTCCCACCCCACCCCAGCCATTGTCAGAGTGCATTATGCTACAGCTAGTATCTGCTTTCCAGGTGGCATGCGGGAGGTATGGATTAGAGCAGCCTAGAGGCAACTCTAACTTATTCCTGGGGACAAAGTCAGTTTAAAGTAGAGTTGGGCTTTTTTCTACTTTGTTGGTGATTTTGAAAATGACCCCTTTTTAGGGTCAAATGGGGACGTTCACTTGGATCCAAAACAAAATGCTTGAGTTTTGATGATTTTTTTAACATCTTTGAATTTAATAACATTAGCAGCAACTTCAAGACAAACCAACAAAAATCACTGAAAATATCAATTTAAAAAAAATGGATTCCCCCCCCCCCCCCCCCAATGAACAGTTTGGCAAAATCTTCTAGTGTTGCTGAATCTTCATTTCCTTGCCACCCCTCCCCCCAACAAAACAAAACAATTTCAGCCAAAAATGTTTTCCCAGTTCCAGTTTGAAGCTACCAAGGGTTGGGGTTGGGCAATCCCTGGACTCCAGCAGAGTCAGCCTCCAAGCAGGGAATTAAGGGTTCTAGTCCCTCCTTGACCGGTGGCTAGGGTGCTCTGTGCTGTTCTCTTCTTCCTAGGGAAGCATGAGTGAGAACCACTCTGGGTGGCTCCACTTCACACAAGTGGTTTAAGCATGAAATGGGGTTAATTTTATGCATTTGCTGAAATCTAACAAACTAGATTTGCCAACTGGATATGTGTTATAGACAATGTTAGAATGGAATGGAATGGCATAAATTCTTTTTTATTGAGTCCAAGGAGCATTAGCTTATTAATTCAGTGCTGGGTTCTTTTCAGGTCAACTTTTAACTTGAATAATATTTGCTTAAATCAAGACATTTGGTTATTCTCAACCAATCAACAGTTCAGTTATTCACTCAGAACCACATCAGCATATAATCAATAGTTCATTAATCAAGTGTAGACCACCAGTGTTCTAGTCCTGTACTGACCACACAATGTTGTCTTGTTTCAGAGTAACAGCCGTGTTAGTCTGTATTTGCAAAAAGAAAAGGAGTACTTGTGGCACCTTAGAGACTAACCAATTTATTTGAGCCCTTGTGACGGACTATGGCTGAGGCTCAGCAGTTACACCAAGGACCAATGAAAATCACCAAGATTTCTTATTATTTTTATTTATGCCACCAGTTCTTTAGGACCTAACACACTTATCACCCTTCCAGTATCTCTCCAAGGAGTAAGGAGGCATTTGTCTCTTAAGGGAGCGGGCCTGCCTGTTCGGATGGATTGGTTTAGAATAGCAAAAGCAATTGCTTACATTTACAGTTCAAATCTCTTAGGTCAGTTTGCCTGGACTTACGAAGGAGGCCATGTCTATAGCAATATTTACAATCTCTAAACCCTGGTTACTTGAGGTCTTGCTAAAGAGCGTTGGCTCAGCAAGATAACCTACAGGAATTAATGCTAAAAACAGAAGAAATACAATCCTTGAAGCGAAATCTCGCTGCTTTTTCTTCTGTTAAACCTCTGAGTATTGGTTTCACTAGGGATTATACAGCTTCTTTGTGGGTTCAGTTAGCTCTTGTTAGTTCTGTGACCCTGTATGACAGGGGGATTCATCAAAACTCTGGGGTCCCACTTGGTGACCTCAATTTTTATATACTCTGGTTTGAGGGCTTATTGGAGGGGGCCGTCCTCTGATTTCTATTGGTCACTTGCCAAGTGGCTCTTGGCTTTCAGGTTTCTCAGTTTCTCTGCTGCTTCTGTCCATGTCCACTAGATAGGGCACGGGCTTACCTGCAGTGGCTCCCAGTCAGCGGTGCAGCGGGGGTGCTAAGGCAGGCTTCCTGCCTGTCCTGGCGCCATGGACCGCACTGTGCCTTGGAAGTGGCCAGCAGCAGGTCCAGCTCCTAGGAAGAGGCGCACAAGTGGCTTCACATGGCTCTTGCCCGCAAGCACATCCCCCCCGCTCCCATTGGCCAGGAACCAGCCAATGGGAGTGCGAAGCCAGTGCTTGGGGCAGGGACAGTGCATGGAACCCCGTGACCCCTCCGCCTAGGAGCCAGACCTGCTGCTGGCTGCTTCCAGGGCGCAGTGCAGTGTCATAACAGGTAGGGACTAGCCTGCCTTAGCTGGGCAGCACCGCCAATGGGACTTTTAAAAGCCTGGTCCATGGTGCTGGTGAGAGCTGCCGTGACCCAGTGCCTCACAGTACTGGGTCGCGACCCACAGTTTAAACACCACTGGTCTAGTGCACAGACCTTTACAAAGGAAACAAACCCCCTTGTCTTAATCTGGTAGATGTGTTCTGTATATTCTTTGATGAACTTGAATACTTTTATTTCAAATCTTTCAAGGCGTATTGTAGGATATGAAACATTACATTAGAGGAACAAGACAGGTTGTTCACAGATGTAGATCTGATTCATAAGGCAAACAGATCTATAGTTTTGGAGTTGGGGTGCATATTATATATATCAGCGGTTCTCAACCTCCAACCGAAGTAGCACACAGCTGCGGCCCAGCTCAGCAATGTGCTAAAGGCTGCCAGCATGCCAAGGTCACCAGGTTCCCGGCTGCCTTGCGCTCAGGGTTCTGGGCTACCCAGTGGGGTCTGGGGCTCCCGGCTGGCCCGATGGGGGTGGGGGTCTGGGGCAGCCACCCTGTCCTGCAAGCTGTGGAGTCCGGGGCAGCCACACGGCAGAGGACTGGGCTCGGGACAGCTGGCCAGCCCCGCATAGGGAGGGTCTAGGGCTCCTGGTTGGCCCTGCGAGCTCTGGGGTCAAGGGACGGGGCAGCCGGCCCACTGCACGTGGCAAGGTCCGGGGCAATAAGTTGAGAACCACTGCTGTAAACTAATGGCATGTCTATGCTACCATGGCGCAGCTATGATGCTTCAGCTGCCATAGTGTAGACACTTCCTACAGTAACAGGAGGCAGTTTTTCCATCGATGCAGCTAATCCACACCCCCCCCCATGAGGTGGTAGCTGGGCCAATGGAAGGATTCTTCTCTTGACCTAGCCACGTCTACTCCAGGGGCTAGGTCAACTTTCCCACAGCGCACAGAGTGTGACACTTGTCACAGCCCCGAGCGACATAGCTAGGTCGATCTAAGTTTAAGTGTTGAGCAGGCCTACGAGATGAAGTCTTTTCCGTAAAAAATTTTTTGGAGTCCTTGGTCTGAGAAACTAGCAATAGCTGGAAGGTTCCTTCTCCAGTGCCAGAGTTCTCCTTCTCTGGGGAACTGTGCATTTTAACAGAAGCTTAACTAATGCTCCCCAGACAAGATGTCCCACCTCTTGACTCTCCTAGTCTTCAGCTCCGAGAGGGAGCTAAGGTTTGGAGTAGGCGTAAGAGCTACTGCCACCAGATAGGCAAATGGGCAGAGAGAAGTTGTCAACATCCTATTTTCAAGGTGTATTTGTAGGTCTGTGCTTCTGACAGCTACCTTCATTCCCCCAAATTGAGGTTCAGGCCCCAGGTCTGCAAATATCCTGGACTCCAGCAGGGTCAGTCTTGTCATTGCCTAGAGCTGGGGAGAGAACCCAGGAGTCCATGTAGTGCCCCCTGCCCACTCTCACTCTGTGCTCTGTCCCCCAGGTTCCAGGTGGATTTCCAGTGTGGCTGCAGTCTGATGCCCCGGCCAGACATTGCCATCCACTTCAACCCCCGCTTCCACTCCCGGCCCCACGTAATCTGCAACACCCTGCAGAACGGGCGCTGGCTGGAGGAGACCAAGTTCCCCCACCTCCCCCTCAAGAGGGGAGAGGCCTTCCAGCTGCTCTTCCTCTTTGGGCAGGATGAGGTACAGGTGAGGAGTGGTGGGTGGAGCCCTAGCTTGTAGCTGGGTGTTGGGGCCTTATTGGAAATCCTGGGAAGTGGGCGGGCACAAGCCCACCCATGTCTAAAGGCCCCTCTCCCAGTCTTGCCGGATGGGTGTTGGGATGCTTGGGCGTTCCTGTGGCTCTACATGTGTCCCCACCCCAATGGGGGCCAGGGATTTCCATGGCTACAAGCCCTCCCTTCTGGTAGGCTGGGGGGTTCCCGTGGCTATGTGGCAGGTCTTCTGCCCCCTTGCCCCCCAGCCTTCAGTGGGCTGGTGGTAGCAGTTCCAGGGTGGTAACTGGAGCTGCAGTGGGATGATGATCTCCCTTAGGTGACAGGCACAGAGAGGCTGCAGGCTGTCTCTGACCCCTGTTATCAGCCCGTTCGGGCAAGCATGCACTCAGTGCCTCCCCCACCAGGAGTTCAGGTCCCAGGGGCCCTGTCCAACATTGCCCTGCAGCCCCTTAATGCCAGTGAGTGCTGGTGCAAAGGAGGCCGCTGGGGGTGGGGGGGAATGGTCCCCTTGGAGTAGCTCTGGTGCAGGGGGCTCCCAAGTGTAGAGGTGGCTCCTCTGCAGCAGCCCTGGCACAGGGAGAGGACATGGACAGGACTGCCCTCTGGCTATTCTGTGCCCCTGGGGGCATTAAAGGTGGGACAGCCCCTCAGCCTGCTCATGCTAGCGCTGGCAGCTCCTGAATAGGGGAGACATACAGGGGTGAGCCTGGCTCTCTGCTGGCTTAGCCCAAGATCTCACTGGCATGACTTCATGGGGGCCCTCCTGAATTACACTGGGGTGACTGAGAGCAGCATCAACCCAGTAACTTAGGGGTGGGGAAAGAAAAGAGGCCAGACCTTCAGCGTGTGTAACTAGATGTAGCTGGTGGCTGATTTACACCTGCTGGTGTAACTGGCCCCTCTGACACCCTGGTGACCATGGTTACTCCAGCTGGTTGCTGAGATCTTGCCCATTCTGGGAGCTGAACTCCTCCCCTCTCCCTCTCTCCAGGTGAGCGTGAATGGGCAGCACTTCCTCCAGTATCACTCCCGCCTGCCCCTGGCCCGAGTGGACACCTTGGGCGTGTTTGGTGACATCATGGTGAAGAGCATGGCCTTCCTACGCAGCAATGTAATCCCCTCTGTGGGGCAAACCAATAGGGTGATGGGGCACCCTGCATCGGGGAGGGGAGTCAGTGGGCGGGGACAGGGCACACGACTTCTGTTGGTGGGGGGAGGGGGAGGATGAGGCCCTGGTGTAGGGGGAATGAGGGTGCACACAGAAGCATGGGGGCAGTTGGGGACACCCTGAGCCCTTGGCATGAGAAAGGGGATGGGAGTTGCAGGAAGTCCCTGAAAGAGCAGGGGATGGGAGGGTAGCAGCCAGGGAGCTGTGAGGGGGAGGGGGGATGGAGGGATGTAAGGAGCTCTGATGTGCACAATGAGCTCAGCCAAGAAGCGATGAGGTGTGAGACCCCAATTTACACCAGCTGGGGGTCTGGCCCAAGGGACGCAAATGGAGCAACCCCTAATTTACACCAGCTGTGGATCAGGGCCCCAGTCCTTAACACTCTCTCTCTCTCTCTCTCTCCTGCATGGGCAGCCCTTTGACGCCAGCCGAACTGAGTACCCTGTTGCTCATGTGAGTCCAGCTGAATGTCTCAGCACCAACCCAATGGGCCGGCGGGTGTTCCCTTGTAGTGCTCCCTCCATCATCAGCACCAGCTCGAGCCTCCCTCCTATGAGACAACCGCGATCTGTTTGCAGGGGCAGCTGGCTGAGGTTTTCCAAAGTGCCTAGGGACATTAAAGGGGGGTGCCTGGCTGTAGACACTCCCAACGGGGTCTGATTGTTGAGCCAGCACTGGTCGCTTTGAACATCAGGTGCCTGGAGTTGAGCAGCAACCCCTGAAATATGAATCACCCCCAAATCGCCAGCCCTTCTGGGAACTCTTGGTCTTAAATTTAGGCATCTGTCCCTGATAAATCCCAGCACACGTCCCATTGTGGATAGCTCAGCAGACGACTATCCATCCCCTGATGTGTCAGCTGAGTAGGGAAGCCAACTTAGGGGCCCTTCAGCCAGCCCTCCCCGATCACACACATCTGGGCTTGTCTCTGCTTCCATGACCCCCATGGGGCTCTGCAGGGGGGCAGAATAGCCAGAGCATGGGCCTGCCCCAGCCACACCCCCACACACCCTGGCAAAGCCAAGGTGTGGGTGGGGGGACTTGGTGTCTTCCCTTATTTGTATTATGGTAGCACATAGAAGCCCCCGTCACAGACCAGGACCCCATTGGGCTAGGTGCTGTACAAATACATGGCAAAAACCCAGTCCCTGCCTCAAAGAGCTTCCAATCTGTGGTCCTTTTGCATCTCATAGCTGACGGATCAGGGGAGGAGAGGGTGTTAGCATAGAGGGAATGACCTACCGTCCTGGGTCCTGTAGCAACCCATCTGGGGATCTGTGCCGTGCCTGGTGCCGTTCCCTGAATGCAGCCGATACCGGAGCGTCCAATCGGGCCCAATGACTTCAGCCTCTAATAACGCATCACTGCAGCAGTGCAACAGTCTGTCTGACTCTGAATTGTCCACGCAGCCCCATGCAGGTTCTGAGCTACAGACCATTCCATGGGTGTGTGTGCTGGTCTCTTCCCCTCCCCCCCGCCGAGTGCGCGGCTAGTGGAGGACTCTGTGCACGTGCAACAGGCATGTCCTCATGCAAGTGCACCTCTCTTGTTCTAACTTTTTCTCCTCTCCTTCCTCCCTTTAGCCAATGCAGCTAAACAGCTCCAAGCTGGTGAGTGAAGCCTGCCTCTGTGATCTCTAACGGGCAGGTTCCTGCACCTGTAAGGCAGCTGGGTTTGATAGGATGGGGGGATGGCTGAAATTTGAGGTCGGGTTGCAGCTGCTAGCAACTGCATGTGCAGAGGGATGGGGCTGCAGGGGGGACTTCTGCACTGGATGCCAGCACTGCTGTGCTTTAACCATGGAGGGTTGTATTGTGGGGGCCTGCTGGATTGGTCCCAGTGATAATTTGGGGTACCCCAGGCCTGATCCCAAGGGACTGGGTTTCCCACAAACTGGGGCGATCCTCTGGATCCCATGGGATCCAGAGGTTCCAGTGACAACTCCCCCTCTCCCCCCCACACAAACACACTTCCCACCCTCCCATGGGTTCATAATCTCTACAAAGCCATCACCAGACCCCTTCTTCCGCCCCCCCCCCCCCGCCCCAGCTTCCTACATAGGGTCCCACTGGGGCTTGTACTCCCTGCTCCTGTGGCTTAAAGGCTAATAATGGCACCTGGGTTTTTCCTTCCTCAGGCTGTGCCATACTGTCACCCGCTCCCCTGTGGCCTTGCATCAAGAGATACCATTACAGTGAGAGGACTGGTTTGCCCAGTGCCAGAGGAGTAAGTATCTGTCCAAACCTCACTCCCCCTTGACCAGCATCTAACCCCCAGCTCCCTATCTGCTGCACTAGGTGTGACTCCTCAGGGACCATTCTGATCAGCCCGTCTGACCTCTGGCTTGTGCTATGCAGAGAAATCCACCCAGGGATTCCTCAGAGAGCCCTGGAGACGGTGCTATGGCAGAAGCGTAAACTGCCACCCTGGTCAGGCCTGGAACCCATGACAAAGGCCCAGGGCCCTCTTGCTGAAGCAGAGGGGAATCCTGGTGAGTGACATCAGTGGAAAAGTCTTTGGCTGCAGCTCTTAGAAGAAAGTCGTTCTGCACCACGTTCCATAAATACATGCTCTCCCCAGCAGGGGACAGCTGTGATACACACTAGTGTAGGGGTCCCCAACTCAAATGACCATGAGGGCCACATGACGACTAGTGCATTGGCCCAAGGGCTGCATCACTGACACCCCCCCCTCCGCTTGCTGCCCCCGGCCCTGTCCCCACCCCCAGGGAGTGCAGGAGAGGTGCAGGGTGTGGCAGGGGCTCAGGGCAGGGGGTTGGGGTGCGGCAGGGGGTTGGGGTGTGGGGTGCAGGAGGGGTGCGGGGTGCGGCAGGGGGCGGGCAGGGAGTTGGTATGCAGGAGAGGTTTGGGGTGCGGGCTCCAGCCCAGCACCACTTACCTAGAGTGGCTCCGGGGTGGCAGGGGTGTGCACCGGGGCCAGGGCAGGCTCGCTGCCTGCTGCCCTGGCCCCTGGCCCTGCGCTGCTCTGCTCCACTCCAGGAAGCAGCCGGAACCACGTCCCTCGGGGGGAGGGGGGGTGGGGTGCATGTGCTGCTCTTGCTGCTCCTCCGGGTACCTCCCCCAAAGCTCCCATTGGCGCTTCAGGGAGCAGCGTGGAGTTCATGGCGCTACGGGGTAGGCAGAGGGATGCGCAGGAGGCAGGGCGTGGGGAGTTTGGCGGGCTGCACTAAAGAACCCTGCGGGCTGCCTGCGGCTTGCGTGTTTGAGACCCCTGCCAAGCTTCCGGTGGCCCCCACCTACCGTGTCTCTGAGCTAAACCTTTGCTGCAGATTCAGCCTCAGCCTGAGGGAAGACCCGTCCCATGTGCCCCTAAGACTCAGAGCCTGCTTCAGAACCAGAGCCCTGATGTGGAGCTCCTTCCCAGATGAGGCCCTGAGCCATGCAGAGAAAGTGGCAGCCTGCTTCCCCTTTCATCCCCAGCGCTTCTTTGAGGTAACGCTCTATTGGCACGGAAGGAGCAGGGTCTGTCTCTTGCAGGGGTAGCAAATGGGGCTCAGGCTGACTAATAACATCCCTATGTGCAAAGAACAGGAGTATTTGTGGCACCTTAGAGACGAACAAATGTATTTGAGCATAAGCTTTCGTGGGCTACAGCTCACTTCATCGGATGCATAGAGTGGAACATATAGTAAGAGGATATATATACATACAGAAAATATGAAAAGGTGGAAGTTGCCAGACCAACTCTAAGAGGCTAATTAATTCAGATGAGCTATTATTAGCAGGAGAAAAAAGATTTTGTAGTGATAATCAATATTGTTAATCTTTCCAACTATACTCTTAGCCCAGCAGAAGAGTCTGTCCTATCTCGGGGCCTCTCCTTTTGTCCCTCCAGGCCCATGAACATGATACAGTTCTGCAGTGACCTAGAATCCTACTTTCAACGACACCGACTCAGACTATTTCCAACACAGCTCTGAACAATATACTAACCCACAGAACCCTTCCTACCAGCAGTACAAAAAGAAGGATTCTGCATGGACTCCTCCTGAAGGTCGAAACAACAGACTGGACTTCTACATAGATTGCTTCCGTCGATGTGCACGGGCTGAAATTGGGGAAAAGCAGCATCACTTGCCCCATAACCTCAAAAAGCCACACTGAACACAACGCCATCCACAGCCTCAGAAACAACTCTGACGTCATAATCAAAAAGGCTGACAAAGGAGGGTGCTGTCGTCATCATGAATAAATTGGAATACGAACAAGAGGCTGCTAGGCAGCTCTCTAACTCCACATTCTACAGGCCATTATTCTCTGATCCCACTGAGGATTACCAAAAGAAACTACACCATCTGCTCAAGAAACTCCCTGAAAAAGCATAGGCACAGACCTGTACAGACACATGCCTAGAACCCCTACCAGGGGTATTCTATTTGCTACCCAAGATCCATAAACTTGGAAATCCTGGACTCCCCATCATCTCAGGCATTGGCACCCTAAGAGCAGGATTGTCTGGCTATGTGGACTCTCTCTCCTCAGGCCCTATGCTACCAGGACTCCCAGCTATCTTCGAGACACCACTGACTTCCTGAGGAAACTACAATCCATCGGTGATCTTCCTGAAAACACCATCTGAGCCACTATGGATGCAGAAGACCTCTACACCAACATTCTACACAAAGATGGACTACAAGCCAACAGGAACAGTATCCCCGATAATGTCATGGCTAACCTGGTGGCTGAACTTTGACCTCGTCCTCCCCCACAACTATTTCACGTTTGGGGACAATATATACCTTCAAGTCAGCGGCACTGCTATGGGTACCCGCATGGCCACACAGTATGCCAACATTTTTATGGCTGTCTTAGAACAATGCTTCCTTAACTCTCATCCCCTAATGCCTCTACTCTACTTGCGCTACATTGATGACATCTTCATCATCTGGACCCATGGAAAAGGAGCCCTTGAGGAATTCCACCATGATTTCAACAATTTCCATCCCACCATCAACCTCAGCCTGGACCAATCCACACAAGAGATCCACTTCCTGGACACTACGGTGCTAATAAGCGATGGTCACATAAACACCACCCTATACCGGAAACCTACTGACCGCTATGCCTACCTACATGCCTCCAGCTTTCATCCAGACCACACCACGCGATCCATTGTCTACAGCCAAGCTCTAAGATACAACCGCATTTGCTCCAATCCCTCAGACAGAGACAAACACCTACAAGATCTCTATCAAGCATTCTTAAAACTACAATACCCACCTGCTGAAGTGAAAAAACAGATTGCCAGAGCCAAAAGAGTACCCAGAAGTCACCTACTACAGGACAGGCCCAACAAAGAAAATAACAGAACGCCACTAGCCATCACCTTCAGCCCCCAACTAAAACCTCTCCAGTGCCTCATCAAAGATCTACAACCTATCCTGAAAGATGATCCCTTACTCTCTCAGATCTTGAGAGACAGACCAGTCCTCGCTTACAGACAGCCCTCCATCTTGAAGCAAATACACTCCAGCAACCACACAACAAAAACACTAACCCAGGAACCTATCCTTGCAACAAAGCCCGATGCGAACTCTGTCTACATATCTATTCAAGTGACACCATCATAGGACCTAATCACATCAGGGACTCATTCACCTGCACATCTACCAATGTGATAAATGCCATCATGTGCCAGCAATGCCCCTCTGCCATGTACATTGGCCAAACCGGACAGTCTCTACGCAAAAGAATAAATGGACACATCTGTCATCAGGAATCATAACATTCAAAAATTGGTAGGAGAACACTTCAAACTGTCTGGTCACTCAGTAGCAGACTTAAAGGTGGCAATTTTGCAACAAAAAAACTTCAAAAACCGACTCCAAGGAGAAACTGTTGAACTTGAATTGATTTGCAAACTAGATACCATTAACTCAGGCTTGAATAGAGACTGGGAGTGGCTGGGTCATTACACTAATTGAATCTATTTCCCATGCTTCCCATGTTAAGCATCCTCATACCTCTTGTCAACTGTCTGAAATGGGCCATCTTGATTATCACTACAAAAGTTTTTTTTTCTCCTTCTGATAATAGCTCATCTTAATTAATTAGCCTCTGAGAGTTTGGTCTGGCAACTGTAATACTGTCTGGGGGATCTCCTGAGGGTCCAGCCACTGGAGACTCCAGCACCCTGTTTTTCACCTGGGGCTGCATGTAGCCTAGGGAGGAGGCACAGAGTACAGGGCTTCTGCACATGTTCTCTGCAGCCCCATCACTTGAGCTGGGGTAGCTGCCATCAGCATGCCCTGTAGGCTCATCAGTAGGACTGAAAGCCCCCTCCTCCCAGGCCCCCTGCCCCTGAAAAATTTCAGGCAGGGTGGGTTGAACCTGGAGCCCAGAGCTTCAGTTCCCTGCAACCTCTGGGCTGCCTCAGTCCTTCACAGGCAGACCGTGGAGTCCCTTGATCAGAATCCCTCCTCTATCCTCCCCCATGTTACAGTTCCCTGACTCTTGTCTTCCCACCCTACAGGTGGCTGCAGCTCTGCCGAGCTATGTGAAGGTGGGCAGGGGGGAGGAGAGTGACGTGCCACTCCAGAGGTAGCTGCATCTCAGCAAGCCAACTGGGAAGGGGGTGAGGGATTGTAACTGCTACACAAATACAGACTCACATCCTCCGCTGAGATAGTCCTGTTTCCATTGACTCCAAGGGAGTGATTCTCATTAACACCAGTTGGGGATCTGGCCCATACCTGCCATCACATTCTCTGCCAAACCTCTCCCAATCCTCTTCTAGCTGCTGCTTGTCTGTGAGGAGGGGAGTTTCAAACTGGCACTCAACGGGATCCCCCTGGGCCAGTATGACACGCCTTCGCTCTCCTGGGACCGGATCACAGAGCTGTGGATAGAGGGTGACGTCACACTCTACAGTGTCCTCTCCTGACCCCTTCACTGCCAGGAGTCTTGTGGGCTCTGCTCAGACTGCATGGACTGGACTGAGCCCTGTGTGTTTGAAGGAACTATTGCATGGGGTGGTGGGGCTGTCCCAGTGAGATAATCCAGTCTCCCTTCCCACTGATTCTCCACTCACCTGAACCCCCATGGACTGGGCTGGCTAGAAGATAGGCCCATTCCTTAGCATTCATTCCATTCTTTGCACAGGGTGGCAGAAGCAGGTAAGCAAGGGGCAGTCCTAGAGGCATCCTCTAGTGCCCTCCTGGGTGGCATAAAATGCAGACAGGACTCTTCCTTGCATGGAGTGACAGGTTCCAGCACTGGACATGCACCGCGTGGTTCTAGTGGGACAACCTGGTTCTCTGCAGCTGCCATATGGCTTGCTCTAAAGGGCTTGGTTATGTTCCTGGGCACCAGCTCTTCCTTGGCATGTATATTTGCTCTCCATCAAGGATAGTTTGTTTGCTATTTTAATTGTAATAAAGTCCCTTTTCTGCAATGCTCTGACTCTGCTGAGCCACTGGCAGGGGTGGGGGGAGGGAGATGCTGAGTGCTGGGGGTGGGGTGTGGAGCCGTCCCACATGAAATGTTAAACACCTTGAGGCCTTGAGCCTGTTGGCCTCTGATTCCCAGTTCCTGTGCTTCTAGCTTTAAGAAACGTCTGTCCTTTTCCCACCTGTACTCTGGGGCCTGATGGCTCCCTATGGGCCTTGAGGCAAGCAGTCAGTGAAGGGCATACCAGCCATAATGAAAGGCATACTGGCCACATCCCAAATCTACCCCCTCACAGGTGTAACCTGCACCCACTCAGTGTGGTGGTGTGTCTTCTGTTCGTGATGGTTGGGCCACAGGCGAGTTGACGAACCTATTACAGCCTCAGCTAACTCAGTGGGGTCTTATAGCTGAGGCAGCGGAAGTGCCTGCTTGGGGATCCCAAGTTGGGTCCTTGCTGCGTAACTCAGGCATGGCCTGTTGAGCGCTGGTCAGAAACAGGAGGATTTTTCGCAGGATGGAGAAAGCTGAGTTGGGACAGAGCCAAAACTTCCAAAGATATTGCAAAACCAGCTTTGTGGTGTGTGGGGTTTGCGGTGGGGTTTTTTGGTCCATAGAAACAAAAGTTTCCATTTCCACTATTTTTTCAATCTTGTATTTTTAAAAAAGAAGCAAATTTGAGAAACAGAAGGTCTAAAATGTTTCTTTGGAAAACAGGACCTTTTGACAGTCAACTTTTTTTTTTTTTTAAATCAGTTTCATCAAAATCCAAACAACTTCACTAAGAGCTTCAGTTTACTCAAAATTCGTTTTCTATCAGAACGTGCCACACTTTGACCAGCTCTCATCCAGTTACACGAGCAGCTGTTCTCAGGGGATTGGTTTCCCGTAAGAAGGGCTCAGAGGCCTTGGTGTAACTGTAGATCAGGCCCTGCCTCTACACAGTGGGATCTGAGCTTCCCCCTCCCTTAAGCACAGAGGCCTTGTACACAGAGCTAATCCCCCTGATTAGCGCTGGTTTGGTTTTTCTGTAAGTGGTGGTGTTACAAATTCCCTGCCTTCCCCAGGAAAGGCATTACTGGTGGCTTTGCATGAGGTTAGCTTCAAGAGCCACATACTGAACATCTGGTCCCTTAGAGCCAGGCTGCCTAAAAGCAGAGTAAGTGCAGGGGGAGTGGGGCAGTCTTGGATCGGGTTCCCCCACTTATCTGCCACCTTCCTCACACCACCAGCAGCAAGCCCTGCCTCCAGTTCAGAAATCAGGCTCTTTATTTGCAGATCATGTACAAAGGGGGAAGGATCCTGAGGGGTTAAATGGACATAGAATAAAAACAACTCAAGATGGAAATTCCTTGCCCCTTCCTCTGAAGAAGCTGTGTCTAGCAGCTTTTGGAGACAGGATATGGGGCTAGCTGATCCCATTGGTCTGAGCTCCACCTGGTTGCTGTAAGTTTGCAATGGATCACCCAGCCAACTACACAGGGAGAGTGTATGCAGCAAAATTTTAAGGTAGAGCAGAATAATACAGGGGCTTGGTTGTATTGATGGGACTGTGGTGTTGGCAGACCAGATGCCAGCTCATGCCATGGTCCCCATGCCTCAGTGGACATTGACAAATATATGTCTGGAACCAGTCTGGCTCACTTGTGTGTTAGAATTGTAATACCTATTTTCCACAATACTAAGAATATGCTTAGTGTTTAGACTTCATTGAATTCTTGTGGGTGGCTGCATGCAGTAATCTCACTCATAGCCACTGTATCCCATATTGTAAGGTCATGTTTAAGCTTCTGTAACTGTAAAGCACCAGACAGGAGAGAGACATTAGATTAACTAGTGTGAAATGCTGGTGGCCATGGAAGGAGTTATGTCCTGGCTGACAAGGAAGGCCCATCCATGCCAGCAGACTAGAGTGGAACATTAGAGGACAAAAAACTGTTTACTCTCCCATGAAGATGAATTGTCCAAGTAAATTCCTCCCATCAGCTGAGCTTGCAGCTCAAAGCAGAAGTGGGGAAGGGAATAAAAAGCCCTAACAAGGAGGAACTGTATCTTCATGCTGCTTGGACTCTGGGGGGCAAGAATTACCAGGCATAAGCAAAAGATGCCCACTGCTTAGCCTGGGTTAGCTCTATATGTCCTTTAGGGCTTTCTTATTGGCAGGCCTGCCGACGGGGGTGGTGGGGTAAAGGGGGCAATTGTCCAGGGTCCCAGGCAATTTAAAATGGCCCAGTGACCCCTGGCCACCGCTGCTGCGGTAGTGGTGGCGGCGACTGGGAGCCCCGGGCCCTTTTAAATTGGCCGGGTGGGCTGCAGGGCTCCAAGGCGTGCGTGAGGTGCCAAATTTTTAATCTGACAGGGGGTACTTCCCCTTGGCTCCGCCCAAACCCCGCCCCCACTCCACCTCTCCTCCAAAGACTCCACCCTGCCCCACCTCTTTCCTGCCCCTTCCCCACCCAGTTCCTCCTTCTTCCCCCTGAGCACGCTGTGCCCTCACTCCTCCCCCTCAGTGCCTCCAGATGCCGGGAAACAGCTGATCTTCAGTAGGCAATGGGAGGGAGGGGGGGGGCATTGATTGGCAGGGCCCGCCAGCAAGCATGAGGCACTGGGGGGAGGAGGAGGGTCTGCTCGGCACCCACCATTTTTTCCCGTGGATGCTGCAGCCCCGGAGCACCCACACAGTCGGTACTGATGTACTGGTGACAGCGAAGGCAGCTGGGTGGGCATGTGGAAGCCCTGGCCATGCCAGAAAAGCACAGCCAGCGCCTCGCTGGGCCCCGGCAGCACCGGCGCAGCACTGCCCAAACGTCAGGCGGACCGCGTCCGCAGCTCGTGCGTGCACCCTGTGGTCCAGCTCCTTGGCGATGCTGGACCACAGGGTGGTTCTGGCTCCAGCCCGCCCTGCACGAATCAAACCTCAGCCATCCCTTTCTAGGGGCCCTATTCACTGTTCTGTCCTGGGGCCTGGAATTGCTGTCGGTGGGCCTGCTTATTGTAGATGCTTCTATTACCTTTTTGAACCTTAAGATTGGAACTCACTTGTGTGTATCTGTTTTCCTGCTTTAACTTTGTAAGTAACTCTCATTTCCTTTTCCTGTATAATTTAATAAATCTTCAGATAGTTTATTATAGGACTGGCTACAAGTATTGTCTTTGGTGCAGTGGATTTGGGGTAAGTGACTAGTCTTGGGGACCTAAATATTGCTATGATTCTTGGTGTATAGGACCATCTATCACAAAGATAAGCTTATGTGCATGGAAAGACAGACCAGAGTACTCAAGGGGACTGTCTGTGACTCCATGTTAGGCTGTTCTAGTGCGTGAGGAGTGCACAATTGACAATTGATCGGTGAAATGGAAGTACAGAACCCACCGCCACTTTGGGATTTGTGCCCTGGTTCTTAGCAGTCGGGCCTAAGGCTGGTACTCATGCTCCTGAGCCACTGCTGGACAGCTTGATAGAGATCAGTATATGTTCTCTTTAGACATGGCTATAATAGGTTGCTATAACAAGCTGGTCCTATCCATATGCACATGATCCAGTTGTAACCCTGATCCTTATACAGGACTGCAGCATACCATAGCAGCATGCTGGCCCTGTCTGTACATGCATGATCAACCCCTGTTACAACCCTCATATTTTCAATGCTGTAACAGGCTCGTCTCAGCCATGCATGATCAAATCATGTTATCACCCTGACTCTATGTGGGTTGGATGCTTGTGTGGCCATAGGCCAGCTCATTGGCTGGTGTAAATTGGCACACACCCCCTTGACACCAATACTGATTTACAGTGGCTGAGGAGTTGGTCACCATGCTTAGAACCAGATAAGCAAACCCCACACCGCACTTAACTAGAGAGGAATGGGGGCCTTGCTAGCTAGGCAATAGACTGGGATTCAGGATGCCTGGGTTTAATTCTCAGCTCTGCTGCAGACTTCCTGTGCATCCTTGGCCAAGTCACTGCCAATTCTGTGTCTCCATTTCCCCAGCTGTGAAATGGGCTGGAAAAAGACTCCATTGCTTGTTTACACTATGGCAGGGTAGGGTTACCATACTTCCATATTTTCCCGGACATGTCCAGCTTTTTGGTTCTTAAATCGCCATCCGGGAGGAATTTTTAAATATCTAAAAATGTCTGGGATTTTGCCATTATTATTTTTCCCCAAAGAAAAGTTGATCATTTGAGAAAGAAAGTGAATGTTGATCGCTCGAGAGAGTGCCCGCTTTTTCCCCCTAACTCCCAGCGCTTGCGCCGCAAAACAGCTGTTTCACGCGGCTAGGGGGGAGGAGGGGGTATGCAGTGCACTCAGGGGAGGAGGGGGGGTCAGGGTGGGGATTTGGGGAAGGGGTGCAATGGGGCAGGGAGGGGGTGGAGTTGGGGCAGGGACTTTGGGGAAGGGGTTGGAATGGGGGAGGGGAAGGAGTGGAGTTGGGGTGGAGGGCGCGAGCAAATACCTCCCCCCTCAGTGGAGTCTCCTCTCTTTTGAATGTTCAAATATGGTAACCCTATGGCAGAGACATCTCTTGCTATGGATCTGTGCAGTGCTGGTTGAAGGGGCTGATCTCAGTAGGGGCGTGCTAACATAATGCAACTAATTGACGACGGGTTGGATTAGTTAGGAGGCCAGAGGTGATGGGCGTAAGTGTGGCTGAAGTGAGGCCTCCTATGGCCACACAATGGGCAATACATCCATGGAAGCCTTAAGGGGAGACTGAGCTGCTGAGGTGATGGACACAAGTGGGGGTGAATTGAGGCCTCGTCAGCCACTGGGTGGGTAGCAGTTAAGCCAGCGATGGAGGCTGGAGCCACTGGATGTGACTGGAGGTGAACTGAGGCCTAGATGATGAGCCCTCACCAGGCAGAAAGAATGAGTGTGATTGGTGGGGGGGAATCCATGTCCCTGAGTGGAATGGAGATGATGCTTCCCATTGGGGTGAAAGGGAGTGAAAACGTCCTGCTGACTCAGAGCTGTTTGCTGAGCTTGCGCACCTGCCTCTCGCGTGCCTCAAAGGCTATCTTGGTATCCATGAGCTCGCTGAGGGCCTTGCGCATCTCCTCCATCTCGTGCTCGGCCTGCTCATAGTTTTGAGCCAGTTCCTTGTTCTCCCGCTGCAGCTCCTCCATGATCAGCTTGATGTCCTCGTTCTGGCGACGGCAATGGTTCTTCAGCTTCTCCGCCTCGGCCAACAGGGTCTCTACTGTCTTCACCACTGACTCAGTCTGCTCCCTGGACATGGCTGGGGCAGGAAGAAAAGGCATCATGTGAGGTAAGCAATGACAGGCAAGGATGAATACCAACAAAGTTTAGAAGCAATCTGGTTTCACTGTGGCTTGGATAGGAAGAAATTGACCTTGGTGAAATCATGTGGCAATGAGTTCCAGAGGATAACATATAATGTTATAGCAGTTAATACTGAAGCTCCATATACTCCTTAAGGGTGAAATTTCACACTCGTTAAAGCCCCCACTTAGCCACCATCTTGACCAATGCAAAGAGTTGAACTGGGGACATCTATGGCTAAACACACGTCTTTACAGTGTGAGCTGAAGAGAGAATCTCTCAAATGAAGAGCTGTAACAGAACCATAGCCTCTGTGGATCAGGGACAGATATGGATTACTCCATGTTCCAGCACAAATCTTATTTACTACTTAAGACTAAACCTTGTGCTGGCCCCTTTACAAAGGGGTGAACATCACCCAGTGGGAGCATATGGATCTGTGATAAGAGCTGGCTGAAAACTCGATTCACTATGGCCAGGAATCCCATGATGCACTGCCTGCCCTCAGCAAGAGGGGATATCGTGGTGCATTGCGGGGAATATAGTCCAGCCAGAGAGCCTGGCCTGTAAGGGAGAACAAGAGCATGAGGCACCCAAAATACAATTCCCATGAGGCACCTGAGTGCCATTTCCTAATTGAAATAATTCCAGTTTCATTTATTTTTTAGCAGAAAATTGAACTCTTCAGGGGATGGGGGACTATTTTTTTTTCCTTTGCTTTGGGTTTTTCCATGGGTGGGGGCGGGAGGGGAATCGTTTTCCAACTAGTCTGCGATATTAACTACTATTTCATTACATGGAGGCAGTGTGATCTAATGGCTAGAGCACTGGAGTGGGGCCTGGTTTACACTTAAAAATTAGAGCAAAGTTGCTCAGGGCTGTGAAAAATTTCACACCCTGAATGTTGTAGTTAGGTCAACCTAACTTCCAGTTTAGATTCAGCTAGGTTGACAGAATAACTCTTTCATTGACCTAGCTACCAGCTCTCAGAGAACTGGATTAACTACAGTGATGGGAAAATCCTCTTCCATTGTTGTACGAAGTGTCTACACTATGGTTGCTCAGCTGCAGAGGCATAGCTATGCCTTGTAGTGTAGACAAACCTTGAGGACTCTGAAGATCTGCGTTCTATTCCTTACTCAGCTACTGGTCTGTGGGGTAACCTTCGGGAAGTCCCTTCCCCTCTATGAGCCTCAGTTTTCCCCATCTGTACAATGGGATAATGATACTAGTGAAGTGCTTTGAGATCTACTGATGAAAAGCACTAGATAAGAGCGAGGCGGTGGTGGTATTACATGTGATCAGATAGTTAAAGTACATGGGTCCAGATTGTCAGTGGAGATAAATCAGTGTAGCACGTTCTACCAGCTGTGATCTGGCCCATTGCATAACAACAGTAGCAGCACTTTATATGGACTGAAATAACAGTTACTATACAATAATTAATGCTGGGTTAAATTTGTTTGAACAACATACTTTCCCATCAGAAATCGTGGTTTCATCAAAATAGATTATTTTCTGCTGGGGGAAAATGTTGGGGGGGGCAAAACCAGACTGTCTTTTGGGGGCAGGGGTGCGAGACTCAAAACCAAAATGTTTGGATCAGTGTTCTGAAATAAAACAATAATTAGAACAAAAATTTTAGTTTAGCGTGTCACTTTACATCAAAATGGCAATTCTAAATCAAAATGCAGTTCAAAACCAAGATTTTTGTTTTGAATCCAACCATTCTGCAATGAAACACTTAAAAAAAAATGTGGAAACAAGAGCTGGTTGGAAAATGTTTGGTTTGTTTTCCTGCAGAAAATGTAGCCAAAAATGTCACTTTTCCATGGAAAATTTCAAGATTTAAAAAAAAAAGGAAAATTTATCCAAAACCCCAAATATTTCTTTTCTAAAATGCCACTGCAATACCTCAAGTTCCCAGGATTTTACAGGCCGGATTCCCTGATTGGATACAACTCCCATGAGGCACCATGGTTTTCCTTCTTGCTGAGCTGCCGTGGTGCCTCCTGGGAATTGCAGTTTGGGCATCTCATACTCCCATTCTCCTTTATCAGCTCTGTTTCCTGGTCAGACTACATATCCCATGATGCACCAGGATCTCCCCTTATGGTTCCCACTGTCCAGTAGATGGTGTTGGGAGCAGGAGCAGCTATCCCAGACGCATGAAAGTGACACTTCTTCCGATCATCCTGCTGTATCTCGGAGCTAGCTGGCATGCCCAGAAAACCAGGCCTCTTCAGGATAATGCTAAATCCTCATCCTCCATTCCTGACCCTGCCTGTGAATGAAGATACAACCTGTTGGAAATAGCTCCCACCCCACGCCAGAGGGCTGCTAACAGGGATCATGCTAAGTGGATTTGTGGCTACCATGTTTTGTGCTAATTTGATGGTCACTCTTTTGGCAGCACCCCAGGGATCAAACCAGGGACTTACAGAGCCAAAAGCACGAGCTAGTACAGCTTAAGCTAAAGAGTCGAAGCTCCACAACTGTAGCCTGTAACAGCTCAGTGAATCAGCACAGAAGGGAGACCCTGGCCCACGCTTGCCAGAGGGTTACACTAGCTCCGTGTGCGACGTATTATGCACATGATTCAATGCCGTGGTTTCCAAACTGTGGGTTGCGGAACGGAAGGCACTGGGTCGCGGCGGCTCTGGTCAGCCCCGCCAACCAGGCCGATAAAAGTCCCATTGGCAGTGCTGCCTGGCTGAGGCAGGCTAGTCCCTATCTGTTCTGACACCGTGCTGCGCCCCAGAAGCAGCAGGTCTGGCTCCTTAGGCGGGTGGGGGGGCCACAGATCTCCATGCGCTGCCCCTGGGCCCCCTCAGGCCCCACCCTCTGGTCAGGTCCAAGGTGGGAAGGCAGAGGCAGGCAGTGCGGGGCAGCTGCTCCTCTGGCTCGTGGTGCCATGAAGCAGGCAGCCGTGAAGCTCCCCTGTCTCTGTGACTGCTCCTCAACTCCCAGTCTCCTTAGACACTTCACGCAGCCGGTAAGAGTTGCCCTGGTTATGGGGACCCAGCTCTGGGGTGTCAGAGCACTCCGGGGGAAGCCCTCCCTGCACACAGCCCCTAGCTACCCCTCTACCTGCATCCTGAGCTTATCCTCTGCCTGAGTGGTTTTCAAATTTTTGATCTGAATCCCCCCTTTGAGTTATATATATATATAAATTTTGGTTAAATCCCCCCACAACCCAGTAGGCTGGGTGAGCTGCTGAGGTGAGTCAGGGGGCGGAGGTGGTACTCACTCCCTGGACCCCACTGTGTGGAGCTGACCTAAGCCCTGCCAGCCCTTGCCCCCACCAATAGAAGTCAAAGTACACCTCCCCCAGCCCTGGAGTTTTTATAGCATGTTGTGGGGGGCCTCAGAAAGAAAAAGGTTCAGAAACCCTGGGCCAGGGCTTCCCCACACTGGCCCCTGCACATCTCCAAGTAACTGAGGAGTCACTGATGGCTCCAGGAATGCTCACTTGTAGTAGCCCTGCTGGGGGGTAGCCAGTTCCCCCCGCAGGCACCCAAGGGATGGACATTCAAAGGCTGACATGAGAGCAGACTTGGGCCCTGTAGGGTAATTTGTAATAGATCATTGATGCACGGACCCCTTTTAAGGTAAGTTCTCAAAGCACTGCAATAACACAGACCCGCTCCCCTCCCAGAGCTGGGAACAGAACTGTGCACTCCTGATTCCCAGTCTCCCAGGCAGTAACCACTGAACCCCACTCCCCTGTAAGAGGTGGGAATAGAAGTCCAGCATCCTGATTTCCAGAGCCTCCTAGATCCCACTTCCCTCCCAGAGGCAGGGGTAGACCCCATGAGTCCTGCCTCCCAACCCCCTGCTGCTCTAACCGCTAGACCCCACTCCCCTTTCAAAGCTGGGGTAGCAGCAGGAGATGCAGGGAATGGCTGGTAGGAGGTGTTGATACTCAGTTAACTGCAGCTGTGTGTTTAAACGCATGTCAGGTGCCCATTTGTGTATGAAGGTCTGTCTGTGGGTATGGGATGTGCTGGGGCGTGTGTGTGGGGGGGGGAGCATACATTGATGTGCTACTAGCAAAAGGGTGTGAGTGTATTATATGGGGTGGGGGGTGAAGGGCTGTGTGTAACGTGTTGGTGTGTGTCTAATCTGTTGGGGTGCTAGTGTGTATATGGTGGGTTGTGTAATTGTGCATTTGTGTGGGGAACGGAGTGAGTGTGTATTTGCGTGCTCTGTAGATTGGGGAAAGTATTGGGTGGGGGGGAATGTGTGGCCAGTGTATTGTGTGTGAAGCAGTGTGGGGGTGGTGTGTGTACGCAGACAGGGTGTATGCTAGGGGAGCACATATAAACTGGGGCGGGGGGTAGATGAGTGAGTGCAGAAAGTATAGTTGGGGGTAGAGAGCACCTGCAGATGGCATGTGTGTTGGGGCGCAGGTGAGTGTGTGCAGGCACGGTGTGTATACTCTGCACTGTGTGTAGAGCCTCAGGGCTTCCAGGCAGGCCCTGTTCCCTCTAATCCCCTTCGCCTCCTACCAATCACGGAACTGGCACCCAAGTATTTCAACCCTCTTCCCACCCCAGGCCCCCGTCACGTGCAGCAATTTCTAAACCTTTGCAATAAAAACCCACCCCATCCTATTGCTGTAAATACAGAAACACCCTCTCTGCCCAGGCCCAGCTGGGCTCAGGCAATCTGCAGGGGGCGGGGAGGCATGGGGCAGGTAGGCACTGGCATAAATACGCCTAACACTGTCGTGTTCCCCCCCTCCCCCCACAGCTGCTGCAAGCACAAGCCAGCCTGGGGATGCTGCGGTTGGAGTGGGGGTTTCTTCCTCTTTGGTTCTAGAACCAGTGGGGTCTGGGAGCTAGGGACTCCTGGGTTCATTTCCCAGCTCCAGGAGGTGAGTGGGGTCTAATGTTTAAGGAGGGGGCTGGGGCTCAGGACTCCTGGGTTCTATCCTCACCTGTGGGAAGGGAGTTGAATCTGGGGGTGGGGCTTGTCCTGGAAACCAGCATTCCTGGGTTCTACCCCTGGAAGGATACCAGAGCAGTAGCTCTCCAGGGCCTGACCTGGGAAGCCTAGCAGCTCAGGGTCTGTGGGATGCCTACCCACAACCCTCCCCATTCCATAGGATCCCAGGGAAGGGCTCACTCACCAGCCGGGCTGCTGGGCCTGAAGTAGCTGTTGAACTGGAAGAATTTTTCCAGCTTTCCTGATCGTCAGGCAGCTGGCGAGTGACTGGGTCCGTGCTGGGGCTCAGGTCCTGCCCAGCGGGATGTGGGGGTATGAAGCCAGGCCCTTGATCGATCAGCTCATCAACGCGGTTCCAGCCAGTGACTCGAGACCAGTGATGCAGAGAAGCTGAGTAGCAGCAGCAGATTGAGCAGGTGGATTAACACGGGCTAAATCCATCCAGCTCGGAGGATTTATGCCCCAGATTGCTGCTTCCACTTGGGAGGGGAAGAGAGGGCATGGGATACAACAGCGTAATAGCATTGTACCTAGTCCTGGACAGATGTCAATTCATTCATCCATGCTGAGAGCTGGGTTGGTACTATTGGAGAGATGGGGAAACTGAGGCACAGCGCAGGGAAAGGCTGTGACGTGGGGACCACACCTCTGCTTGGCTGAGACTTGCTGTATTATCCCTCCAGCTACAATGCACATCTCAGGGATAGCTATATTTAAGTGCAATTCACAGATACATCAAACTTAACAAGCTCTTTGGAGTGGGTGGGAGGTTGCCCTGAGGTCATGGGGGTGCCTTTGGCCCCCTCCCACATGAAAATTCACCTGCGTTTTGCTGCGTTATTGGATCTAAGCTTAGAGAACACAAATAGACCTGTTATGTGTTTAATAGGAGCCAGGGTGCGGGGGAGAGGAGAGGGAAGTCTAGAGGCTTTTTTGGGTAAATTGCCTATAGACTGAGTACCTGCTAGCTTTGACTGCTACCGCCTTCGACCACCGCTAGTAGGAGCTATTGCTTTCAGACACCGGTATCTGGATGCAATCCAAATGTAACAGACCTGGAATTCCTAGTTCTTAGGGAGTTTTTAAACATTTACTGTTGTTTTCTGGGCCCTGGAGGGAGAAGGTCAATTCTGGAAAGGTAAATTAGGAGACTGAAGTATTTCCACATTGCCAGGACCGCCTGCGCTGGGCAGCTGCAGCTCCCAGCTGTGGCTCCGCAGGCAAGTCCCTCCCAACCCGGGCAGGGGAGAGAGGGGAATAGCAGCAAGTGATGGGTGGAGGGGGAGAAGAGGCAGGGCACGGGAGATACCAGCACTCCTGCTGCAGTTTTTTTAATATTGCAAGGTTGCCAACCCTACCAATAACTCAGGCTGACATGGAGCCTGCTGAGTTGCTGTTAAACAGCAGCTGGGTTCCACTCCAGAGGCTGCTGCATCTCCATCTGGGGGAGCAATCCCCATATGAACAGCTGCTGCACCCTGTCCCAGAGGTGGCTGCCTCCCAGACCCAGGCAAGGGATTCTCTGTATAAAACAACCCCCATGTCCCAAATCAGAGGCAGCTGCATGCCAGCTCTGAATGAAATGATTCCTCTCTGTCTGCCTCTAAATCAAACCTCCAAGGCACCTGCACCTCTTCCTCAAAGCTGTTAATATTACATGTACTAGGGAAGCAAGTAGGAGACCTCAGCTTAGATTGGCGGCATTCGATATTGGCTCTGACAGAGTAACTACAGGCCTCTGCTATCTGGGGGAAGGGGATATGACCCATCTCCTGAGAGGCCTGGCAGGGAAAGAAGAATTGCCCCTCTGTGAAGTTTCTACCCCCACAATCCCTACAGTCTGTCTGCAGCATCCTGCTCTATAGGGCTTGGGTGGCCCTGGCCCAGAGCTGTATAATCAGCCTTTCCTAATCTTCCCTGCCTGACCTCTCTGCTGGTGTCCTCACAATCCCATTATCTCTGGCCATAAAAAGAGAATTAATGGAAGGCAGCTGCAGCCATGAAGGGCGACTGCTCTTCTCCTGGCACTGAGAGCCTGTTCCTAGCACGTCAGCAAATGAGGAGTTCATTGTACGGGGCGCAATAGAGGATTTTGGTGCATTCATTAATAATCAACAGCTTCACGCTTCCAGTTTATTCTCCTGGCCAGGCAGCATCAGCACAAATTTCCCCCCAATCTCCCAGCCCAGAGGCCTTCCAAGGCCAGTGTCTGTGGCCAATTCAGTCCCCAGTCTCTCCAACATGCCTGCAGCTCACTTTGCATTAGGGTTTGCGCCTCACCTACAGAGCCTGGGTTGGGTCAGCCCCCAGGACTAGAGCTGGTCTGTGAATATTATATCCCCGGCTGAAAATGTAGACTTTTTTTGTTTCAGATCAGTTGAAACATTTCATTTCAATAATTTCAAAACTTTAGTGTCAATTTCAGCTTTCTTTTCTTTCACCCAGTTCTCAGTCTCGCTTAGATTTCATAACAAGTCATTTGGAAACGGAGAACTGGAAATTTTTGCATAACAAATGTCAAATGGAAACATTTCAGCAAATTCAAAACTTTGTTTCTGGGCGTTGTTTCACATTGGGAAATGCATCGAAGGTGGTCGTGTTCTGCGAACTGTTTTGGTTTTGAGGGATTGATACTTTTTTAATCAAAAAACCCTCAATTAAATTAAAAATTCCAGACAAGCTCCAGTGGCTGGTTAGCGGTAAGGTAGCCTTATCGCAGTAAAGATAGGCTGGCCTTGTGGTTATGGCACAGGTGTGAGACTCAGGAGATCAGAGTTCAGTTCTTGACTCCACCACATATTATTGACAGTGAGTGAGTAACTTAATCTCTGTGTGTTATTTTCCCCATCTGTAAAATGGAGATGATAATCCTTCCTTTGTGTATTTAGACGTGTTCTGTATTCCAAAACCCATCCAGAGTAGCATTATAGATTTGTAGCTAGGTCTTACATGTTTGTGTATAGCTAGTACATATGGTTATTTGGAATCCAACGGCATCGGTGTAGATTCCTCATATTCTTAATGTTGTGGGAAGGGCAAAGACGCAACGCAGACTGTGAATTCTTTGAGCTGTTTAGCACCTCCACTGACCAGAGTTTATCCATTAGCTAACATGACTCCAAACACGATTTAATCACTATAAACTCATGCTTGGCATCATGACAGCTAACCTGACTCTTCACTGTCAGATTTTGTCACATATCCTAGCTCTCATGTGACTCCATAAATCCTGTGCTTTAAAGGGACATTGTCAACTTTAAAAAATCACAGTTCTGACCCAAAATGAGTTACCTTCTCTTGGTACAAGCTATAGCAAATTTTCACTGAGAGATGTTAGGAGAGGTAAAAGACTGATATCATGGGCTGATCAGACGTGAGAATCAGCCTCTCGATAGCAAATTAGAGCTGATACGTCAGGCGGGAGTAGGCTGTGACAAACCTTGAAAGGGAAGACAAATACCTTGTATTTGATGTGATAGAAAATGGGGAGCCAATGGAGGGACGCACAGAAAGGGGTGATGTCCTGGCCAAAGTGATGGGCTGGGAAAATGACCTTTGCAGCAGCATTCTGAATGGATATGAGCAGGACCAGAGGAGCAGTCCTGATTATTTTTCAAGTCCCGGTATCCTGCCCCAGTCAGCGTGACTCCACTGATATGGGGCGTGCAAGGTCACGCTATGTGGAGGATGCCATTTTGTTTCTATATAAGAGCTGGAATGGTATTCCAGCCCCAGCACGCCACGGGGGGGGACAAGGTTGCATATGTCAAGGCTAGAGAAAAGGACGTTACAATTACCAAAATGTGAGTTAATGGGAGCCTGGACGAATTTCAGTGTGGATGGATAGGAAAGGCTGTATCTCAGAGTGAGTCTACGAGATACAGATACAGCCTGGATGTGAGGAGCTTGAGAGAGATCAGTGTCAAAGATGATGGCCAGGTTGCAGGCCTGAAGGACAGGAAAGATGGTGGTGGTGTCCATGGTGATTGAGAATGGAGGTGCCAGGGAGGGCTGGGGGAGGACGATTAGGAGCTCTCTGTCACCATGTTGAGCATGAGCTGCCAGCCAGACATCCATAAGGGGATGTTGGGGAGACAGGCCAAGATTTCCCTTTGGATAGGAGACAGCTGTGGAGCAGAGTAGCAGACCTGTGAGTTGTCAACAGAGAGATACCAGTTGAATTTGTGTTTGTGGATGAGATTACCCAGAGGTAAGGTGTAGAAGGGGTCTAAATACAGTACCCCAGGGAACCCCCACAGAGAGCTGGCAGGG